ATAATATCTATAACTTCGATGAAACAGGCTTCGCAATGGGCCTCGTTTCTACCGTAAAAGTGGTCACTAGAGCTAAATACTATGGCCGGAGATCTGTCTTACAGCCAGGCAATCGTGAATAGGTGACCGCAGTGAAGACAGTTAATGCTTTAGGCTAGGCTTTACCACCGTTAATTATATTCAAAGGCAAGCGCTATATTAAATTATAGTTCTATGATACCCCAAAGGACTAGCGCTTCGAGGTAAGCCTAAATAGGTGGACATCTGACGCAATTAGGCTTCGATAGCTTCAAAAGCTATTTATTCCTTTAACCGCAAATCGCATACGTGGTCGGTAGAGGCTATTGATTCTTGATGGTTATAGAAGCTACCTTACGCCTGAATTTGATCGTCTATGCACTGAAAACGACGTCATACCTATATGTATGCCACCGCATAGCTCACATCTATTATAGCCGCTAGATGTAGGCTGTTTCGCAGTGCTAAAACGATCATACGGTCGCTTAGTGGACCAACAGACACGTATAGGGATAAATCATATCGACAAGCTTGATTTCCTTGCAGTCTACCCACGCGCACGCGAAGACGCCTTTCAGGCTAGAAGCATTCAGAATGCATTCAAAGCGACCGGTTTAATACCGTTGAATGCGGCAGAAGTCCTTGATAAGCTCAATATTCAGCTTCGTCTGCCTACACCATCAGACCGACTATTAAGCCGATTAAGCATTTATTGCCCCGAAACACTAAGCAATATCAAACAGCTTTCAAAGCATAGGGCATCAGCAAAGCGTCTTATTAAGTATCGGTCAGATAGCCCACCGACGCCTACAAAAGAGGTGTTTAATCAGGCTTACAAGGCATGCGAACAAGTCATGAAGCGTATCCTTCTATTGGAGCAAGAAGTGACAGATCTACGTGCTGCAAACTATAAAAAGATAAAAAAAAAGGCATTGCCTAAACGGCAAATACAGCGCGATGAGGGCTTATTCGTTCATGAAGCCCATAGGCAAGGCATTGGTCTACCAGGGGGCATAGAAGGTGGTGGGGTGGTCTCTACAACACCCACCCGGAGAGCTTCAGCGACCGTTGAGTCAACCAATAGACGTCAATATGCATGCAGCGTATGCAGAAGGCCTGGCCATAGGGCTAATATGTGTCCAGATAGAGATTAAATTGAATATAAATGCATTGTGGTAGTTTAAAGGCTTCATGAATAGAAGAATAAGTGGGTGGGGTGGCGGATGGGTTGTGGTGGCGGATGGCTTGTGGATTACGTTATAGTGTATACAGAAGGCCCAGCCATAGGGCTAACGTATGTCCGTATACAATTTAAATAGAATAAAAAGGCGTTATGGTAATTTAAAAGCTTCATGAATAGAAGAATAATTAGGTGGGTGGCGGGTGGCTTGTGGTGGCGAGTGGCTTGTGGAATACGTTAATCATTCGCTGCTAGAATTCCGACTGAAGCGACAGATCTTTGATTCAGACGCGGTGTTGAAGTTCTGGCGTGAGTTTCTCCGTGTGCGCCACGAGAACCCGAAGCTTTTCGCCCAGGGAGTCTTTCGTGACACGGATCCCTCAGATGAGTCAGTATTTGTTTATGAAAAGAGGTGTAATGATGCAAAACTTATTGTTGCACTCAACTTCACCCAAAAAACACAGCCAATTGACCTAGGTAGCTATTTCAAGAGTCTATCGTACCGAACACTATTTAAGCATTGTGAGGCGGAGTCCCTTGATTCGCTACAGGCTTGGGAGGGTCGTATCTATCGTTTGGAGAATTTGATCTTGTCAGACTCAAACACTGACCGTCGAATGTGATTTGGCTAGGAGAATGTGCATTTAGGTAGGTATAGGTGTCAATCATCCTTTTTTTGGGTGGTGACAACAGGATGAGTTGCAGACTGGATCATTCCTGCTTTTATACTAAATGCTCTGCCTTCTCCACCTCAGGATACCCACACGGCTCACCTTTGATTTTTGTTGTCAGAAGCCCCGGTTGCCAGTCATTTAGGTAATCAAATCCAGTGAGATGGACAAATTCAAGTCTTAGGGCTCATGGGATTCCTACATATTCCTCATCACCCTGCAAAAATTCGAAAGAGTCCTTCCTGGCTGAGAGAGATTATGACCATCTCAGAAAGTTGAATTGATGGACGCGGAATAAGTCTGACACCGAGCGCCGTGCCTTTAAAGAAAAGGGGTCTAGACTATATTCAGGTTCAGGCTCAGATTTTGATTGCGATCGCTGATGAGAAGCCTATCGCATGGGCTGTCCAAAGACCCACATAGTGGGGCCGGGATGTGGCCTCGCCTCGGTTGATATCTCGGTCGCATGATACGTGCCAGCCATTTGAACAGTTGGATGGTTGGGCTTGCATGTTACACGGACTTGGTCTTCATTGAAAATCTTGACATGACCGTGATATTGGTGGCAGGAGTCCTAGAAGGGTGCATCCATGAAGATAGAATCCTATACTCTTGATATGGAGCTTGCGCACAGGGTAGATCTCTAGATCAAATCCTGCTTTTACAGCCAGGGTTGCGTCACTGTTTCAGATCTTCCGAAACACTCCATGTAAAGATGGAGCACAGCAACGATTGTAGAATCTGATTTGCGCGATCTGGACGTGAAGATTGACAAGGTTCAGATCATGGGCGTACAACCCAGAATGCGCGTGGCACAAGCTTTCCCTGGGTCAGCGTTAGTGTAAACTTTTTCTTGCCCAGGTACGCCAGGCACAAACGCCTGATGGAGCACGGCGAGAGAGATCCTTAGTCAGGGGGGACCCATCGAGCATAGGATTTGGATATGATTTTTTTGTGAGCTTTTTCTTTTCAAGGTGCAACCTGCAACTTGAAGTCCTCCTTCTGTGCCACCGTGACATGCGACCTCACTTGTCCGCTCAAATTGTAGGCGCAAGTCTAGCGCTCAGCGTTCCCTTGGTCAACGCGCTGGCTCCACGCACAGAGATTGCCGACTCGTATGACTTTGTCATTCTTGGGGGAGGTCAAGCTGGTCTCGTTCTAGGTGGTCGTCTGTCGGAAGATCTGAATTTTACTGTTTTAGTTTTGGAGGCTGGTGAGAACGGAGATGCTTATCGAGACCGCATTGGTATGCCCTTAGCTATTTACCTCCCCGACCAGATAGCTGACCACGTGCCGTGGCAGATTCACCCGCGGATTCGTACTTTGATTCCCTGTGGACGACACCATTGAATTGGGCGTATTACACTGTCCCCCAAGCCAACGCAAATGGCCGTGAAATAGAGTGGCCTCGCGGCAAGACCCTTGGAGGTCAGTATTTGCACTCTTTCGGCGAATGATCAATATTGATATGACAGGAATGAAGGAAGCTCCGCCATTAATGGACTGTATATGACACGTCCTGGTGTAGACGAGATCAATGCGTGGAAAGACATGCTCGGTGATATGAATGGCGCCGACAAATGGGGCTGGGAGTCCTTCTACGCCGCTATGAAGAAGAGCGAGACATTCGACGCGCCAAGCGGCGAGATCGCTTCACAGGCTGACATTTCATGGGACATGTCAACCCATGGTAGCAGTGGCCCGATCCATGCCTCATACCCGGGCTTGTACATAGGGGATCAAAAGTCTGTTTACATATCTGAATTTATACCCACCCCCCTTTTCCAATTAAACTTCACCACCCCATATCTCCACAGCTATGAGGTCTTTCGGCATCGAAATTAGTGGTAATCGGCCGCGTGGAGCTGAGCTTTCGGAAACCACTCGTGCTGCTATTGTTTATGCCCTTGAACTGGGTGGAAAACCCACCCAAATTGTAAAAGATCTACATATGTCGCGTCAAACTATCTACAACACCAAAAACCACTTCCAAAAGCATACACACGTCAAAACAAACCCCCGATTAGGCCGCCCACTGAAGCTTACCCCCTCTGAGCGTCGATATGTGTTCCGTCTAGTACGCCGCAGCCCTACAATAAGCTATAAAGCCCTTTTGATTGATACCGACTTTAAAGTATCAAAATCAATATTAAAACGCGTCCTAAAGCGCTGCAATATCCGCAAATAGGTTAGCAAGAAGCGTATCTTTCTTAAGAAGCATAATGCAAAAATTCGACGCGCCTTTTGCCGAAAATGGGGTAGTGTGCTATATTTTGATGATGTGATCTTTTCCGATGAATGTTCTGTCTAACGCAAGTCAAATTCTATCCACCAATACGTATTCTTATTTAAGAATGAACGATACAGGAAGGATCTGATGAATATTGTGAATCATAGCAAAGATATCCGGTAAATAGTTTAGGGATCTATCTGGCTTGGTGGTCGCTTAAAGTTAATAATTGTGGAACGCGATACTTTTTCGAAAATAAACGGCTATACCACGAATTCATATCTTGATACCCTCGAGGAAGCGCTCCTACCTATGTACGAGCCTAGCACAATATTCTAGCAAGATAATACGCGTATCCACGTAGCAGAAATTGCAAAAGAATGGTTCGAAGAGTATAGGATATGGGTAATAGAATGGCCGCCGTATTCGCCTGATTTAAATCCTATTGAGAATGTCTGGAACTTGCTAAAATTAAAGCTATTCAAGCTTTATCCACAGCTTGCCCAGCGTGGGCGTTCTAAGATGGATTGGAATGAATTCCGCAAAGCCCTAGTCATCGCATGGGATAGCATTGATCAGGCTAAAATTGATAATTTTATCAGATCTATGCCTCGCCGCATTGCCGCGGTACGAAAGGCAAAGGGCTAGTATACGAAATACTAGATAGTTATCATATGCATCCAGTTTGAATTGAATATCTTTTAAAATGGTGGAGAAATTAAAGAAAATAACATGGGAAGATAGAGGCGAAATTGGTGTGTACACAGAATTTTGACCCCCCTATGTATGTTCAAATTGCTCCATTTATTCCTTACCAGACTAACCCTATGATAGCACATTCGCCCAAGTTGGACAGTGGACGCCTGCCCTGGAAGCCCTTGGCGTGGCGGCCTCGACGCAGATGTATGGAGGTGAGAATTGGGGTGCTGAGGTCTCAACCTCTTGCATCAACCCGGCCAACTGGACTCGTTCCTACAGCCGAACAGGGTATCTCGACCCGCTTACAGACAATGGCAACTATGACGTGCTTGCCAATGCTCATGTCACTCGAATTATCTTTGATAGTTCTTCCGCCTCGGACAACCTCACCGCTAACTCTGTGGAGTACACCATTGATGGTGGATCTACCTTCCGAACTGTCAACGTAACGAAGGAAGTGATCCTCACCGCTGGCTCTGTTAACAGCCCGGCAATCCTCATGTACAGTGGCGTGGGTCCCAAGGACGTTCTCTCCGAAGCCGGTGTTGACCTTATCTCCGAGCTCCCTGGTGTTGGCCAACACTTGCAGGATCATATTGTAAGCAGCTGCAGTATCCTTGCCTAAGATATCTGACTGACTTGAGACAGAGTGCCACTGTCACATGGACCACTGATGTGGACACCGCAGGTTCGATCTACTACGACAACCTCACGGAGAAGTCAAACCCTCTCTTATACTCATACATTGATTCTGCCATCGCCTACATCAACGCTTCCTACCTAGGCATTGAGGATATGGACGTAACAATCCTGAACTCGATCAATCTGCATGCGCCCAACACCACCTACGATGCCGGTGTCATCGCTGGCTATAAGGCGATCTGCAATACCACTGTCTCTGATATCATGAAGAGCCCCACAGGTTTAATCGAGCTGTTGTTCATGAACAGTGACGCCAGTGGCATTGTTGGTATCACTGCCGCGCTGCAGCATCCCTATAGCCACGGCCGTATCTACATCAACTCCTCCAACCCCGTCGACAGCCCCGTCATCGACCCGAATTACCTGAACAATACTGCCGATTACGAGATACTCCTCGCAAGATTGAAAGTGGCACGCAGTCTAGGCGAAACTTCCCCATTGAGCAACAATCTCACGGGCGAGACGGCTCCAGGTTCATCCGTCACGACTGACGAAGAATGGCTAAACTGGATCCGTAAGGAGGCCGGCACAGAATTCCACCCCTCTTCTTCTTGTGCTATGCTTCCTCGTGACCAGGGTGGTGTCGTTGATGCCAATCTTCGCGTCTATGGCCTAGCCAATGTTCGAGTCGCAGACGCCAGTGTCCCTCCCATTGCTTTGTCAACCCACCTAATGGCCTCGACATACGGTTTAGCCGAGCAGGCCAGTAACATCATCCAGGAGTTCCATACCCCCAGATCCTCGGCTACAAAGTCTTCCATCATTGCCGCCTCCGCTAGCGGCAGCAGCAGCAGTAGTATGGCTCCCAAGAAGAGCAACGATAGTCCCGCTAGCTATCAAGGCGCCTCCTTTCAGACGTGGGAAACTGCCTTGGTCTTCACCACTTACGTTGCGGTCGTTTTGAATCTAAGTTTTTAGGGTTCAAGACATTTACTACGTGGTAATATGAAGCCGACCACGGTCTCACCCGGCATATACGAAATCATGACTCTTCGCGTATCACATTTGGACTAGTGATCTTGGATGTAAATTTAGAGTCACGGGGGCCTGTCCTGCCGCATGAGCTAGATGTAAATTGTATCGATCAATAATATAAATAGTCTAAAGTGAATATGATGTCAGTATTCGCAGCAAATCCTAAATGTAGATCAACATCCGTCAGCTGTATCGCAAGGTATCTCGTGAAATTTTCCATATCCGTGGCGTGAAGCTCATGATACCGCGAAAAAAATCGGTGAGCGTTCCCGGCTACAGTACTTTCTAAAGGCCTCGAAATCTTGCGGTGCGATGTGGCTTGGGGTGACGTGATTGATAGACATCGACGACAGATTCGGTAGTTGTAGTGACCGGCTGCACCACCTCGGCCATGAAGCCCGAGCTCGTAACCACCATTTTCCTCGTGGATGTTCTTAAATTTCCATTGTGGCGACCTTGTCTGCTGTCATATTAGTCTCCGTGATGTGGTTGTACAGGGTGTGACACACTCTCCCGCTCTGTGTGCGACCCCAATTGTAGGATATTATAAGACCTTGTCAACACCGGCGATGACAAATTGTGTCGCTTTGCTTGAAGCCCATCTATACGGTACATATCTCAGGGAACGCGTTGTACTTAGAGTGCTGATCATACAGGCAATACCAATTGAAATGGGAGGCAGGAAAACGAGGTACTGAGGCCTGTAGCAAGCATGCCTCTACTCTTGTTGGTCTCTACGGTCATGACTGTACTCAGCATTCTAGGCCGGTGACGTGCGCTCTTCCACACTTATCCGTTGTCTTTTTTATTTTTATTTTTTTGCCGATCTGACAAGTCAGCAGATCGGGTAAGGGAAGTGTGGCACAGCATTTGGTATGTGCATCATGATTTGCTGCATCGGAAGTAGTTTCAGATCCAGCATTCATGCCTATGGAATAGTGCGAAGAATTCCCTGACGCAAGTATCACTTGGGCATGGTCCTTATCGTAATGGGCCGATGTATGTACATTATTGGAATATCAGCTGTGCAAAGTCTATATAAATCACAAATGGGTATCTCCGACGCCGGCGTCTAAACTATATTGGCAAATGACCATTCTCAGCCTCATTGTCATCATCTTCCTTGTGTCCAACGAGCTGGTAAGAACCACCTGTGCCGGATCGACGTCGTCTCCAAGATCGGGAGACGGCACAAAAGATCCCGAAAAGAAGACAACTCAGTGCAAAGACTGCGATGAGTAGTACTCCCCAGGACCGAATAGAGACGTAGCTGGATCTCGACGAAAGAGGATCGAGGGAAAGAGTTTCGGTGGTTCCAAGGACTTCGCCCGCAATGTTGATGGCGGAAACTCGGAAGTAGGAGGTTACTGAGGGCGGGAGGTGAATTCGAGTCTCAAAGCCGGTGCGCTCCACCTGGTCTACGGGAGTGAAAGTGATGTTATCGAGGCTTTCACTGTCCCAGACTTCAAGGCGCCATGTGTCGATCTCGGTGGCACCGTTCCAGCTGACGAAGACGCTATCACCGGCGATGGCAGCATCTGGTAAAGTGGTGGGTTTTCCGACCCAATCACCCTTGAAGGAACGATAGGATACAATTCGGCCGAAAGTGAAATAGGCCGATGCACCGAAGTGGACATCGCAGACGATCTTACCCTCGGGTGTGTATTCGGTGAAGGCGGCGCTGTGACCCCAGCCGACAAACACGTTGCCTGTGTCCAGGACTTGGACGTTGCCCTGAGATATGGCCATCAAGCCCTGTGGGTGGACATATGTCGCCCTCACTGTCGCGTGTCGTGCAGGGATGTCGAGATCGATGAAAAGCCCGACGGAATCTCGAGAAGAGTCCTCTTCTCCGTTGGCGTTGTTGTTGAGTAGAGTGATGCTACTCGCGCTTCGCCAGCGAGCATCGTGCTGCCAGCTGAAGTTGGTGGCAGCTTCGTCTGACTTGTGGAAATCGTTGTGCTTTCCACCCAATGTCCAAAGAATTTGACCAGTATTTCCGTCCACGCAAGTTACGGTGTGCGTGTGTCGTCCAGAGACCAGATAGCGACCCTGATCATCTTTGTCAATACTGTTTATGTGGAAGTAATCATATCCGAGGGTTCTTTCGTGGCCTCGATCGTTGATAGGGAAATAGCTGCTCTCCGGCGCGTAAAATTTGGAAGCTCGCCACTCGAAGAGCAGCTCGCCGGTCGCGATATCGATCTCCTGGAAAACGCCGTCGTAAAGCCAGCCGAGCTCGGGGCCACCCACCGCTGTCAAATCGGCGGGAATGGGATCGTAAATGGTGACGAGGGCAGTATCGTTCGAGGTGATGACAAAATCGTGCAGGTCGCCTTCCAATCCAACGGGTGACACAATGTACCTGATTGTGTAGCTCGAGTCCAACTGTCGAGGAAGCAACGTAAGTGCTCTGCAGGAAGGGACCATAGGAGATCGTAAAAGCTTGTATCTTACCATGAACCACGATCCTCGACCGTGACCGTCCTCCTCATCCCCTTGCCAATACGTCACATAGTCCTGGCCCTGGAACCGTTGAACCTTGAAGTCTTGCGTCACTCCCCAGTTATATTTCGCCCAGACTAGTTCTCCTTGAGCGTCCAGAATCATTGGACCCGCATGGGCGACCGAGTCGCCCCGGGGTGCAATAAAGGTGTATCGAGGGTCGCATTGCGCATCGGCGGGGGTGACTTCGAGAATCCGGGACTCCTCGTCGAAGGAGACGAAGCTTTGAGACGGGCCGAAGCCATAGAAACCAAGATCGTATTTGCTCAAATCGGCGCGAAAACGGAAACGAGCCAATTGAGGCACGGCGAAGAGACAGAATAGAATGGCGGCTCCTATGGCGGCGGAGATACCCGGAAGGAGGCGGCGGAGGCCATGACGATTCCCAAGTTGCCCGATTAGGCGCAAAGCGGAGGGAGTCCGCATGGACATTGGCGCATTCCGAGACGTTCACAGAGTGACAGGGAGGAGCGGGAGTGCGGAGGGCAAAATGGTTATATATGGGGCCTTGAGTGTCTCTCCTTGCCTCCCCGCAGGGACTCTTGGCAAGCGTGGACGAAAAGCGCAGAGCGACGCGTGTGCTCACTCGGCTTCTATCCAGAGATTGTATCTGCCAAGGCCGGTCAGTGGATGCGATTCCCTTTTAATGGCGTGGTGAGCCACGCTTGAGCCACTGGGCAGCGTCATATCTCAGTGGGCCAGGTTTTCGAAGCGGTCGAACACTCCACATCGCCCGAACAATTATTGTCCATAGGTCATTTCCCAACGGGCCCCGTGGAGCGGGTGCCGGAACCGAAGCGCCACTAAGCCACGCGGCCTCAGATCAAGACAGCCCAGACAAATGTGGCTCTGGTATCGTGCGTGGTGTTACTCCCTCGCCAATCAAGGCCACCGTTCCTTGCTGGAGTCTTGATGGCTCATCGCTCGTCTTTGCCGATATCCGACATATAGGTAGGACAGACGTCAAGCCACGTTGACTTTTCTGGGATGCTGGTGAAGGATCTCACGAAGTTGGGTCAGAAGGTTCATCACATCAAGCTCGATCGTCACTGTCCACCAGTCAAAGATCCTGGCGGAGCCTTGTGCTTCCTTCCCAGAGTCGCCCAAAGCGGTGGGCGGTACGAGCGGAGCAAGTACGGATTGCATCATCTTTTTACGGAGTACGAGGTGGACAAAGTGCGAAATGCGCGCTACCGGCAATTTCGGCATAATTCGAGGTCTATCAACAGATTGTCACGACGATTACACCGTCCAACTGTCAAGTTCTCAAATGATATATTGCGTTATCTGATTCTATCTATAGAGATTTCCCTCGGGGTCCAGTCGGGCTTGACATGCACGCAGGAAACGGTCGGCGTGGGAAGCCCGTGCAGGATGAGTCCGAACCCAGTAGCTGGGCTTTCCTCGACCGCGTGGAAAAATAGCTGGTTCAAGGAGTTTGATCAGATGCGACGAAACTGCGGGACAATCCAAGTTCAGGAAAGATACGCTCTTTACCGCAGGTTGATCACCTGACCAGCCATGGACAAAGGTCGTGATCATGTTCCAAGGCTCGGTCCAAGGTCGAGAGGTTCGCCACCAGTCCTTGCCACCTGATGCCATCCTCTACCTGGGCCATCCTAGGGTGCACCGATGAGGGCCCTGCATGCAAGACTCGAGTCCAGTTTCTTCATGTCAGAGTCTCAGGAAGATTGGAGTCCTAAAGTCGAAAAGAGAGCTCAAGACAGAACTGAGATACTCATTCGGCACAGGATCCGATAGACCCACGCGGGCCAAAAAAATATGTAGTTCACTGGGTCTTTGGAGAAACAGGCTGGTATGAGAAAGAGACCATGATTGACCCCAATCGGGCAACACATATAGGCGCCTGTCACACCGGCCCCGTCAAACCATCGGCAACATCCCCCTTCCCTTCGTCGTCGTAACTTGAGCTCCATTATCTAGTTCCTTAGTGAGAAATCCCTATCAAATGTCCTCTCCCACATTTACACATGATCGTGTTGCTCACCGAGCCAAGAATCCAGCGTTGAGGTGGACACAAGGGGTTGCAGACCATATTGAAAGGCCTCAAGCGGCAGAACAGATTTTACTAGAGGCATATGATTGAGATCTCAGCTAAAGTGGAGAATACAGCAGAACAGCACGATGGAGATGAAGATGAGCTACGACACGAAGTCTGAGAATCCGGGGCTCTTGACGCGTGCCTACTGTGGGCGAGGCATGAAAGGCTCGTACCAATCTGCTAGGCATGTAGCTATGTGGGCAGAAATATCTGTAAGGTGCATCTATATCTTCAATGCCCGGTATTATGATATCTCACTCCCAGTTCTATTTCTCAATCGCCTGGGCTTGGCCAGCATATCCAGCATCGACTCGTGCGTTCATCTCGACGCTGAACGGTCATTTTGGGGACCATAGCTGACCGGTTGTATCTGAGTTAGAAGAGCAGACATGTGTATCAATACCCGTTCAAAGGTTGTTTCGCCTGGGCTCGGAAAGAAGGCAGCTCGATGAAGTCACAGCCAGCGAGTAACACACCCACACCACACCTTAGCCTCAAGTATACATCGTCCCCATAGATTACATCATAGAAGGACAACATCATATCATCCATTGTATCCTTCTACGATACCAGACAAAGAATTTTTGGACCTGTTTGTGTCTCTGGCATCGTGAAGGGATGCCGGCTGTACTGAGATGCCTCAAGATTTTATACAATCGGGATAGTCTCTACGGCCACGGAAATGTATCTCTTGACCACTACCAAGTTAAACTCGCATATTCACAGCGGCGAAACACATCATTTCATGTTTCATTCAAGGCACATAGCGTTTGAGGCATTCGGCTGTCCGTGTATAATAGTCTGGCGTGGCGGCATGAAAATCGGCGCGTTCATTCAAGTCTACAAGAAAGGTCGTACGAACGGCGACTTTATGATGCTTCGCAAATGAGGCACTATGGTCAATTTGAACAAGTCTGGAGACCGCGATGTTCCCAGAACGAAGGCCACAATTACGCAACGCTTCATTCAAAGACTGCGTCAAGGTCAGGAGAGATCCTAACCAGTTCATCTTGTTCTGCCGGGAAGAGGTTTTAAAGGCTACAGGCCAGGCAGGGTTGAGGGCGAGATACTTCGCGGTCATTCATGAGAAGGTTCGTCTAATCCCTAGGGATCGCAAATGCGTCTCGACATTTACCGATGAGTAAATTGGAATTTATCCTGAGGGGGTTCAGATAACTAGGTGTGGCGCAGGCTCGGCCCGGCAATGAAGGTTTTGTCGGTTTTGCCGTGTCTGAGCAACAAGGGTTGGACGAAATCGTATCACGCCAAGAGACTCGGTTGGAAAGTGTTCTGACCTCGAGGTGTTGTTGGGGATTGGGCGTGGAATGAAGATATGAAGATTCAAAGCTTGGTCTTTGGTAGAAATGTTGAGGTGGAGGGCCCGACATATGAGTTGAATTTGAATGAAACAATCGAAAGACTTGTCGTGACTAGGATGGCAGCGTGGACTTATCACGTTCCTGAACGACCACCGTACATAGGCACGGGATGCGGTTGCTTCGCGTTCGTTTCCCCTTAAAAAGCCACAGCGCCACCACCACATTTGCTTGATCAACGACTGATTTCCATCTCTAACCCGCGGACGCGATGAATCACCTGAATCGCTTCAAGGTTAGCTGAAGTTCCACCCGTACTCCATGCTCCGTACTTATGCTTGGTCCAGACCCAGTCGCGGCCCGCGTTCAACGAACCATGCGAGCCCATGGTTCCACCACTGAGACTGGCGCGCGAGGCGCCTTCCTTGCCCTGTTTCAATATACTGTACCTACGGGCCTACGGGGAACGGACCCGACCGCGCCATCCGCTCAGCCCTTGAAGATTCCTTTCCTCCGAGCGCCGTAGTTACGGCACAGGGGCGTCAAGTTTGGTGAGTGAAGAAGCGCCAAGAACGCCACCTGTACCGAGAAACCCATTGTACTAGCACATGGAACGCTCAGGGCGCAGGCCTTTACCGCACTAACGGGGATCCGTGAAGAGGGAATGGGAGCCATCAGCATGCCACGGTTTCGAGGCGCAAAGTGGGCACATCCCCCGCTAGGATCTCGATCTCTTCAATGCAAAACCATGTTCGAGGACCGGAGCACCACACTGCTTCCGGAAGGTCTTCCTAAGGCCTAGGGAGCCAATTTATTCGAAGGAAGTGTCGGAGCCCGAGAGTGTGTCTTAGCGCACGCTAGGACAAGTCTAAGACATGCTCGAGACCAAGAGCTGCAAAGATCGACCGAGTTTGGTCGGCGCATGGTTAACTTCATCCGACTCCACCGATTTCTTCGAAACAATCCCGTGATTGGCCCCCAGGGCCAACATTTGTGCAAGAAAACCCCCCTTTAACCTTCCCCGATCGTCGAAGTTTTTCCCTCTTTCCTTGCACCTCCTCTCCTCTGCGACTGAGACACTCATTATGTCAGGGGATAAAAATTTAGTCGCCCACGAGGTTGGCCTAGATGCAGGCGCGCAGGATGACCGCGATATGGAGCGCATGGGCAAAGTCCAGGAGTTCAAGGTGAGTGCAACTCCACATGCGGGGAATGAAGGCGCAGCGCGTTGACTAGCTCCCAGAGGAACTTCAAATTCTACTCCATCTTCGGTCTGACTACCACGTTAATGGCCTCGTGGGAATCGATCCTGCTGTGAGCTTCCTCGATTCCTCGATTCCTCCCGTCCGATCTCGACTGACTCCCGCATAGCACCGCTGCCTATGGCCTGACCGACGGTGGCCGCGCCGGCATGGTTTATGTGTATATCGCTTCCTTCGTGGGATTCTTCGCCTCGGTAGTGTCAATGGCGGAGATTTCCTCTATTTCCGCCCACCAGTGGTGGTCAATATCACTGGGTCAGCGAGTTTGCTGCTCCCCGTTTCCAGCGCTTCTTCAGTTATCTAACGGGATGGCTGTCTGTATTGGGCTGGCAAGCGGCGTACGCCAGTATTTGCTTCCTCTGTGGTACCCTGATTCAGGGTCTGCTTGTTTTCAATTACTCCGGTGACACGGGCTATGTCTATGGCTATGAACGCTGGCACGGTACTCTGTTGACGATCGCTATTGCGGCTGTCGGAACCCTAGTGAACACCTATGGTGCCAAGTTCCTGCCTCCTCTGGAAGGAGTGATTCTGTTCCTTCACATTGGCGGATTCATTGCTGTCATGGCCATCCTCTGGGGAATGACCTCCGTGTCCGGGCAGGCGTCAGGGTATACCGTGTGGCAAGAATTCACCAACTCGGGCGGTTGGTCGAGTATGGGTCTGGCCTGTTTAGTGGGCCAATTGACTCCTATCTTCTCCTGGACTGGCCCCGATGCTGCTACTCACATGGGTCAGTGAATCAATGCCTCCGACGTATCACTGCTAATATTCTGTGTAGCCGAGGAAGTGCAAAATGCTGCTTTGGTCGTGCCCTGGTGCATGGTTTCCACTGCGTTGATCAACGGTGGCCTTGGTTTCATCATGCTGATCACCTTCCTATACAACATGGGCAGCCTCGAGGCTGCTCTGAGCGCTCCCAGTGGCTTCCCCTTTCTCACTGCAGTTCAAAATGCCACCGGTTCAATGGGTGCCACCAACGGCGTGGCTGCCATAATTCTCATCATGGAAGTCTGCAGTGCCATTGGTATTCTCGCCACGGCCTCTCGACAGACATTCGCTTTCGCTCGCGACAATGCGCTTCCCTTCTCTCGCGCCTTGGCCCATGTCAACAAGCGTACCCAGATCCCCACCGTCTCCGTGCTGGTCTCGACGATCATTACCGTTCTGCTTAGCTTGATCAATATTGGTTCCACCGCCGCTTTCAACGCCGTCGCCTCAGTAATGATTGCTGCTCTTTTCACTACCTATATCCTTTCTATTCTCGCATTCATTCGCGCCCGCTTCCAACCGGGTGGTGTTCCCCGATCCCGCTTCTCCCTCGGCAAATTCGGTCTCGCCATCAACGTTTTCTCGGTCGCATATCTGTGCTTCGCCATTATTTTCACCTTCTTCCCGACTACCAACAACCCAACACTCGTGAACATGAACTGGTCGATTCTGGTCTTTGGTGTTGTGGTCATCTTCGCCATTGTCCAATACTTGATACACGGTCGCCGTATCTACCAAGCGCCTGTCACCCAGGTTCGCAAGGAACAGTAAAAAATTCACTGTGATATGGTGGTAAATTCATGACTGCACGATCCTGTCTGAACTTGGATAGCCGAGTGTAGCATGCGACGTTTGATATGGGCAGGTCCCTCATTGCCGCGTACATAAGATTTTTAATTAGCTCCTTGGATATATACCGTGGCTTCTTGGCCAAGACAACTGGATACATAATACTCTTAACTGAGCTACATCATCATCATCATCATCATCATCATCATCATCATCGTCAAAATCCCATTTCAATTGAGGTAGTTAGTTGCCAGACTCAGGATATCCTCCAGCCCCTCCGCATAATCAACTCCCAGCGGTGCGATGAAATCCACATTTGGCATCATCCCTGATACATCACTTGTCTTTTCTGTCCAATTTTCATGCCCGGTCGCTTTCCGTGAAGGTCGACCTGGAAGCATAGGTCGGGCTGAACTTGCCCGATCACGTTGATAGAATGTTCGAATGACACCGGCAATGTCCATTCCGTCGTGCGTTGCGTCCACCCCAAGCGACTGTGATTCGCGAATTTCTGCGATTTGCCGCCTCTCTCTGGATTTATTCTGCTCAGCGTCCAACATTGCTCTGAGGAGAAAGACACCCCGTCGACCGATCATCTCGGACTCGCAGTGCGTAAGGATCTCGATCCCATCCTCCACGAGCTGCCGATGCTCGGCGGACTGTCGGTCTGGGCCAGGCTGATGGCGTATTTCTAGACACAGGATGATCTTCTGGTTGTCAGTTCTCCCCAAACATCCAACTGGCACTGAGATACAGACTCATGACTTACGCTTGCAGTAACGCTGAACGCCTGATGAATCCACAACATCGGCCCGCCATCTCGAGTAGCCTCTTTCTGCTCCTTAATGATTGTCCTGGAGGCTGCCGCACAGGTTTTGCGAGTAAATTCGAACGTTGGGTTCACAAAACTCAAGCTCAAGAACTCCCGGTGGATCATTATTACTTTGTGCGCCGAGCTGATGGCCAAGCTGCGTCATGCCCACCGGACGTAGCATGGCCATGCTGGATCCAACGGTACATTCTGCAAGTAGTACGGAAGATGCCGTGTCGCTAGGATGCGCAGTCGTCGATCGTACTTTAGAACTTCTTCATACTTAGTGTACAACGTGTTGCACAAGGTGACATCATCCTGAAGATCTGGCATCAAAGCCGCAATGTCGTAGAATAGGCGCGAGTAGCTAGTCACAGTTGGATGATCCTCTGGAAGACTTTGAATATCATTGTCGCAATTTTGCGGCTTCTTGGTACTGAATGCTAGCCGATGAATCAAGTAGCTCTCGGTGAAGGGAATTGAGAACCAATCTTGAATGCACAGCTGACACCAAATACGCCGGCCAATCTCACGACTTACCACATCGGTAGCCCGAGAATCGCTTCCTTCGCCAAGTTGATGAAGTCCAAGTCCCTGAGCTATCCGTACACCAGAGGCTAGGAGCACCGAGAATCCATTCGATTGGCCAAGCATGTGTGCGGTTATGGTCAGAGTCGCTATCGCTTGGACAGAGTAAATAGAATGGCACGCCATGTAGTCGGCTTCATGCAAGCAAGCAATCGACGCTTTAAGCCGGCGCTTGGAGAGAGAATTTCTTTCTCGTCCTCGGAATCCCCATGATTGCGCTATTGACGACGGTGCACTAGCCATGGATCCCGTGAGGACGGCGAATAGAAGGGAAACCCATTGTAAATTGACAAGGGAACCATCAATACGGCCGTCTCCCTTCTCATAAAATTCACCAAGCTCTTGCATGAATGTCTTTGCGTGAAAAGCTCCATGGTACCACAGCAAACATGTGCAGTGGTAATCCACCAATTGGTAGACCTTTTGGCTTTACAGGCAGTAGAGCCTGGCAGAGTGATCCTGCAGATATCCGCTGCGCACGAATCATCCCATTCATCCTCTGTCGGGACATCACCGGGTGAATGCTCAATATTGTTTCTCTTTGCGATCTCATCATGATAAGTAGGATCTTTGCGGCGACCCCAGACCAAGAAGTCAAGAATTGTCGCTGCATCCTCTACTTCGTTCGGCGTATTCAATGTCTCAGTGTGTATTGTTTGTACCGTGGGTGTTGATGTTTGCAAAGACCTTGGAGAAGCGTTGATTGAAACTGACTCGGCCGGCGTGAACGAATTGCTATTGAACTGTACTTCGGGCATCGGCATGCTCGGAGGTGATGCGGTCTTGGTCGCCTCTTTCAGCGCCGACTCAAGTCGGTCGACCCGAGACTGAAGCCTATGAATCATCTGCAAAGAATCTGCGCTCGACCGAATAAAAAAATGCTGCTCATGTCCCACGGACGGAGCGACACTGGGGGTCGGGGAAGCCCGCTCGCGCGGCCGAGTGCACGGGGTGCCTTTTCTGGCGCAATTGCGACATGGCAGGTTCTTGTCGCACTTGACTTTACGACGGGTACATTCGACACATGCCAGACGCTTTCGGTGAATGCCGCTGCTCATTTCGAGATGATGAAGAGGTTCAGGTGGAGGCATCCCATCCCATCTTACTTATCTGCGAAGGCCGCGATTACAAACTCGACCTTATCTTTGGCAACTTCTCCTTTGGCGCTTTCAAAAATCCGTGATTTAGGCCAGGATCTGATCATCCTAGGGATTACCTCTATCATTGGATAGCTAAACAGACAGTTTCGTCCTTGACTGTGTTCCCCATGAGTCTCGACTCTTTTTTATCGAGTAGCTCGGCCGAGGCCCCGAGCAAAGTCGGCTAATTGGAGGGAGTGTCGAAATGATGAGACATAGAACGGCTTCTATCTTGTCACAGATTTATAAATTAAAAAAATTCTCTTCCATTCTGTCTGTCTAAGACTTTTTATCCTTGCTTTGCGACACATCGCTTTGACCCTCGTGGGCCTTTGCGTGATGAGACTCGGTTTGTCGTAGCTCTCCGTTGGTTTTCTGTGGTACCCCGGGTTCTATGCCAACCGGCGGCATATTGATTGGCGTTGGCTTCTGATCCAAAGGTGCCAACCCTCGGTCCTTGACAAACAAGGAACCTAAAAAGCATACACCAATCAGCGGGACTTGTACGATGAAAACCAGGTGGCTGGCAGCCATATATGCATCCAGTACAGGTGCGGGAATAGAGGCGTTGAGATTGTGCAAAGAATATGGCGAGTCTGCGAGACTTGAGTACTGGGTCGGGAGAGTCGACCGAAGTTGCGCCTGCAAAACAGCCGCCGATATGGCGAGACCGCATGCGCCGCCAGCGCTGCGATTGAAATTGCGATTTGAAATGATGACTGCGCGTCGGGCTTTTGTTGAGTGCGCTTGCAAAGCCACTAGCATCGGCTGGAATACACAGCCTACACCGACCCCGGCTATAAGGAGGACAATGACGAGGACACCGGGATCGGTATCTATCCCGAATATTAGCATGAGCCCTGCGCCGCTGCATATTCATTGTTAGTGTTCATCTGGATCAAAAGGTATAAATATCACATACAGCGTCCACATCGCAAAACCGAATCGGATGACTTGCCCGTAGTTTTTAAATCGTGTGATGCAGATGCCGGAGAGTGCCGACATGATGGCCTGAATCCCGGCAAGTGAAGAGAAAATCGCAGCAGAAACAATTGCAGAGTACTGATGAGCATTTTGGAGGTAAAGAGGAATGTAGTAAACCGTTGATTGGTACACAGCCCCGAGAAGGAAACTCTGAGCCAGCAGAATGACTATTGCGGGACTGCCATAGACAGCAACTGTAGTCTTGTCAGCTTGAAGACCGTCGAAGATCTGGATCTAAAATTCACCTGGCATCATGGGGATTTTAGCAAACTTCCATTCAACAACAACAAATAAAACCAACGATGAAGTGCCGATGGCAAGCATGCTGATCACCAGCGGTGAGCTCCAGGCGAAATATGCGCCGCCTCCAGAGATGGGAATCAGCAGAAAGATCGTTCCGACCGAGGACGTCAAAACGCCCAGGTAATCAACTTTCTTCATACCATCTTTGAAGGTCGTAGTCGGATTCTTCGACGGCAGGAACCTAAATGCGACCAGGGCATTCAATAATCCGAGCGGTGTCAGAAGCCAAAACAGCCCTCTCCAGGTCGACCGCGAGACAAAACCCGCTGCTAGGAAGGGTCCAGTGACACTGCCCAGACCGATCATACTTCCGATAATCCCCTGGTATTTCCCTCTTTGTTCCAGGGTAACAACATCGGAAGTGATGATCATGGCAAGATTGGTGATGCCCCCGCTGCCGATTCCCGCGACTCCACGGAAGACATAGAACATGGTCGCGTTCCTACTCAAGCCACATACTAAGTCTGCGATCGCGAGTAGCAGGATAGCCGAGATGAAGATAGTCTTGCGACCAAATATATCTGACAGCCTCCCATAGAGCATTTGAAAGGTCGTGTTGGCCAGAAGGGATGCGGTTCCAGCCCATGAGATCGTGTTGCGGGCATCCAGGTCGGCGGCGATGGTAGGCAGAGCAGTAGAAATACCATTTTGATCGATGAAGGAGATGAGCTGCGCGAGAGAGACAATCCCCAGGCAGAGAATGAGCTGCTTTCGCGGCAGCAGATTGGACTGATCTTGAAGAGATTTTTCACCTTGGGTGAGAGAGTCGCGACTACGAGACATCTTAATGATTTGCGCGACCGAACGTAATGTCACGTTAATTGAAACCACTGTGATGCCACGGGCTCACTGAAGCGAGGTAGTTGGATTGTACTTTCACCTTCCGAGATCGGGAGCAGGTATGGAATTCCTAGCGCGTTGCGACTCTGCCGCCGTGAGTAGCGCCACAGTGCGCTACTGTTGTCAGACAAAGTAGTGATTAAATGACTTTGCAGAAAGAACGAAGTCTCACACTTTGAACTCTGCCGACCAACAATCTTTTATGTTACTAACTGACGTACTAGAGCGCTAATCACCTCGCCCACGCCTCGCTTCGCTTCAGACGCGAGGCGGATCAAGTGTTTATCCACATCCGCATTCGCAGCATCGCTGTGCTCTTTCGTTTCTTTGCCATAAAATTAAGAACTCGCGGAGTAGTGTTGCCAAACAAATGCCTGATCCCAGCGTTCTCGAAAAAAGTCATGACAGGTCAAAGTTTGGCCTTGCATCGTTCAGTTTCCATGGCACGTGGATAGCATATATGGTGTCAGACTAGCAATCAAGTCTCGAAAAGAACGCCAGAATTTCGAAGTTCGGTAGATTTAGACAGGCCCTTTTCAACGCTAGCACCCGGAATTAGACCAAAAACTACGTGGGGTAATCATCTTGAAGAATGAAATCAATCGAAGACATCAAACGCAATCATTGAATTTCAACTTACACCTAGGAGCCTTTGAGCATCCAGTGCTATCACATAAGATACAAAGCACTTGCCGAAATAATTCGGAATGCAAGATGGGACGTTGATATGTATATCAACTCTATTGGGATTTATGTCCTCATTGATTCTCGCACGTGTTTTCGCTAGATGCACCGCGACGCGACACGGAATCTACGTGCTATAATATTCTATTGGAATAGTTCGAGACTTGTCAAACTTCAAAATATATGTAAATTCAACGATTTTATTGGCGTTCTTTGCAGGTTCCTTCAATTCACCTTGGAAAACTCCCTGCGCCAAATCCGGTCAACTATCAAATAAGCAATCCTCCGATGCAGACGAGGGTATGTGATGGATCAACAAACCAAGGCGCCCAGATGGGCACAATTCCATATAAAAGGGTGACGGAATGATTCTTTGAACATTTGAAGGTCATGCCCAGGTGGTGTCAAGCGTTGTAAACACGATAATGCCCTCTGATGTCGTGTTTTTCGCAAATTTTTGATCCATGAGAACATTGCTCCAGAAGTTTGTGAGTATCCATCAGAGAATTGTTACCTCTTAAATAACTCTATCTTTCGATTTGTGCCTTAGCTGATGGCTTGATACCCTAATCAATTTGACAGGTCGCCCGCGCACCTCGGCCGAACCTTTGGAGGGGGTCGGCCGAGCAGGCAGATAAGTAAGGCGGGGCCTCACGAGTGAATGGTCCTTAAGATTTGGTCGGATTAAAACCTCTATTTAAATATTTAGGAGCTCTTTCTCAGGAATATCATTCACTCAACAACCTCGTTGAATCTGGTTTCTATACACCTACCAGGTCAGCCTACAACCGGCGATATCCAACATCATGTCTCAAACCTGATACGTCAACCCTAAGATCCTTCAAATATCCTTGCTCGACTTCGAAAACCGCATCGACACAATCACGGCCGAGCTCATCAATGCCGCGGAGAATGTCGGCTTCTTTACACTCATTGACCACGGTCTTTCGAACGAAGACATCGAGGCCATGTTCCAGACATCCAAAAGCTTTTTCGACCTACCTAAACACGAAGCGACCGTCCCGTGGAAATCAAACAACGTGGGGTGGGAAGAGAACTCACAAATTCGACCATCTACAGGAAAGCCTGACAGTAAAGAATCCTACCAGCTGCAGTTTGGCGAAAACATGAAGGGTCTGTGGGTTGGAGGGGATCACCTCGCCTGGTTTCAGGCTACTTCCCTAGAGTCCATGCACCGTGTACAGAAGACCTCAGGGTTTCAATGCGGTGCTTTGCGCGCGGCTTGGGCTTCCCCGATGACTTTTTCATCAAATGTCATGATGTTCCACGACCGGACTCGCAAACCACAATGCGGCTACTTCATTACTTCGCGCTGCCGGAGGAGGCCGATGGCAAAGTGTATCATCGCGCTGGGGCACATGCCGATTGGGATTTCCTGACCCTACTCTTTCAGAAAGAGGGGCAGAGTGGGCTCGAGATCTGCCCTGGTCGCGAGGTGGTCACCGAGTTTGGGATTGGTGACGAGTGGACCAAGGTGGAAGCGAAGACAGGGGAGATCGTTTGTAATATTGGGGACTTACTCATTTCGTGATCAGACGATCGCTTCAAGTCCACTTTCCATCGCGTGAAGGCGCCGTGTGAGAATGGGGATTATTTTGGGGGTCGGTATAGTATCGCCTACTTCAACCAGCCCTGCAAGGATTCCTTGATCCAGGGCCCGTTGAAGAAATACCCAATGGTTACTGGGGCTCAATTCACCGAGAGTGCGATGAAAAGGAACTTTGCTGCGTTGCAGGAGAAGTTGAAGACGGTTGCTGCGGCATGATGGGGAGTTTGTTCGCGTGAGGGCCATCTGGGCACTACCTGTTAGGGCTTCATTTCGATGTCGCGGCGGGCGAAGATCTCGAAGCGCCTCCGAATATAAGCGGATTTTGTTCTTCTGTCTCTGGGTCCTGGAAATGTCTCGTCAAGCAGGAAAGTAGATGAATGAATCTGAATACTCTTATAAATTCCCAAAATCCCACCAGGTAGAAAAGCCATCGGCATTGCCCGTGGCCGATTCCGACTCGGCGTAACCAATGCTGTCCATATCAACAAATTGCGTCGGATCAGTCCATAACCAAGGAGTGTTGGCCATGAGGCTGTCTGCAGGTGCCACAAGCTTTTCCCCCAATGCCGGATTGGAATTTGCTGGCGATACAGACAAAGAAGACAGGCGTGGTAGTTTTGGCGGCATATGGGCAGCTGAACCTCCATCAGCTGTGTTGACATTGATCTCTGGCGACATTGCCACAATGACTTCGAGCGTTGAATTTGAATGATCCGTATCTTGTACAGATACTGCAGGAGTAAGCAAAGGGTGTAATAAGCTAGAGGCCGACGTGTCTTGAGAATCTGTTGTACAGTTGATTTGAAGGATATCCCACATTAGGGGGATACTGAGATAAATCTTAGACGGTTCCCAGTCAAAATCCACTTTCTGGGACCCGGATGCAATTTGCGTCATCTTATCAAGGGTTTTATTCTAGGACCGTCAGCTTCGGCTATCATCCAGTAAAGACAAGAAAATGACGTACCAACGATTCACAGGCAGGAGAAAAAGAGACGAAACTTTTCAAGAATCGCCTGCACTTTGCGAAATCTGTTTTCGACTTGAATTTCAATCGTGGATCAGCGGCACAGCAGTAGTAGAGGTGGACTGTTGCTGCGATAGCCGCTGCATGTCCAAAGAATGGATCGATGAGCCGCATATTCCTCTCAGTTACCATGTCGATCATACGAACGATCCAGGTAGCATGCAGAAGAACGAGCTCGGAAGATCGCCTCCAAAAGGTATTTGGGATTGTTAGATTGTGGTTGTATTGAGACGCCACGATATACAGGAAGGGGTGGTTCATCACGGTCAATATAGAGTGATACGTGAACTGTAACTTGAGCCAGGGAGCCCAGTATTCTCGGTTCATTCTCAGCTCATCCGCTCGACGCTCGTAAAACTTAACCGAGTCGTATCGATGGCACATGGAGAGTTTATTCTCAATTTCCGTCAAATCAGACAGAACCATTGCATAAGTCGAATCGTGTCGCCATGGTTCCTTGAGCCTGCTCTGAGCGCAGTCGAAGACGTACGATCTGACATGGCTCCAGACCCATCCAAAGTGTAGCGCCAAGCTCCAGATGCCAATGTCGCTTGGAAGTGAGCAGCCAATCTCATCAATTGGGAGCGGTGGAGGCTTTGGCTCGGGGTTCTTCTGAAGATTTGATTCCTCGCCGCTGACTGTATAGAATGAACGCAAGACATCTGCTGGAACGTTGAGAAAACCGTGTATTTGACCGTAACATTGTTCAAGTGACTGGAGACTCCAGAAAAGTCTCTTCTTCCGCTCAATCGAGGGGCAATCTACGCCGTATGTCGAATTCAGGTCTAACATTGCAGAGCGACAAAGTTGGAGAGCAAGACCCAGGTGAAATCTTCCCAAGGGCAAATTCCCATCTATTTTTGGTGAGTGGTCAGCATTCGTCGCTATGCACGAATCAATGTCATACCTAGGAAAGAGGAGTATGCAAGTAGACACAGACTTTCGATGGTCTCAAGCTCAACCGTGCCATTTGCAATGCGAAGCATGACTAGTGTCCGAGCAGTATCACCGTAGTGTAACATCTCATCGCGTTCTGGTGAGAAGCGCGACGTGAGTGTGAGAATACTGCAGATTAGTTCTTCGGAAACATAGCTGGGATCCTTGACCTCTTCTCGATCCAGACACCATATTGGTTGTCTATGACAGTATTGGAAGTAGAGATCAATTGCCTGCGATATTCGAGAGGCTGCGTTGACTTTCGGGTCGTCAAAGCTCATCCGAAGCAGGAAAGAATCACTGGAGTTATTAGCCATCTCACCAGATGACGGGCATGATGCCGTGGAATAAGAGGTATCAGGGATGTCATTATTAGGAGGTTGGTTTTGCGGCTCTGGTGGCGGAAGATTTCTGAATAAGGAGTCAGACAATGCAAGGAAAGATGTGTGGGTACGATGGTTTGGAACCCACCCGTTACCACTCAATATGAGGTTTACTTTCTCCTCCAGGTATGCCAATCGATCAGCCTAGCCAAAATATTAACAGCTACTCTCAGAAGTCCAGGACGAGTCTCTGACCGATGGACCACTACGAGATCCCCTCGGCACGGAAGTGTATAAACATGACTGGTTCAGTCTGACACAACTTGAACAGGCTGGCTTCTCAGCTGGGCATCGTGTTTTCTTTCTCCTAGGTAATGTGAGATGGCAGAAAAATCTAACAGACGACAGGGAATCCCACCTGCAATTGAGGCAGGCTTCATGCGAGCGCAATCTTCCTCGATTGCTATCGCGCGGCATGGTATGACGTGTTGAAGGCCAGGGGCGGGAGAGGTCGCTCAGAGTAACGCTAGTCAGAATCGCAAAACAATCAGGTATCGTCCAGGCGCGATGTGACTGATCAGGCAAGTAGAGAGCATAACAAGCGTGACCAGAGAGGGAGAAAGAAAGCGATAGAAGAACATCAACCGGATTTTGAGAGGATGAGGGGGGCGTGATAAAGAGCGGGGAAAGGGAATGGGACAAACAAGTGGGCAGCGTCACCCACGGAGACGAAGAAGCCTAGAGAGTCTAAGGAAAGACTAGGTGTATTCTAGATCGTGCAGGGGCCTTAGTGTGCATCATTACCATCCGTCAGAAACAAGCACAGGGCCTGTGTGTCCACACTAGTCGATGTAACTTAAACCCTTCTCAAAAAGGCAAAATTACCCAGCATCAGCCATACCTCGAACACCCTCGAAGACCATCTAAAACATCCCGGTCGCCGATCCATGATAGTGATCAGCCTATCGCCTTATAATTCTAGAGTACAAACCGTCCGATCGAATAGGCGCAGGGGCCGTTTAAACTTTGATATGACCATTCGACTGACGCGCACTCGCCAAGTCTAGTTTAGGCAAAGTGTTTCCAGGCCTGATCTTGGGGGTGGGACAAGTATAGTCCGGATGTGGCCTGAAAATAGATACACATGCCCGGGCTAGTAAAGGCGAGTGGCTTGGACACTCATTCCCTACTGCTCCATGTACCGTGGCAAACTGACGCACAAAGAATGAAGAGGTCACATGGACATGAGCCACCTGCAAGAAAGCTACTAAAGAGGTCCATGAGACTGGTTATCGACGCTTATCGCCGTAATAGTCGGCGGAAATCGATGGAACCACAGACTAAGACCACCGCGTACTTTGACGAAACGCGATGACTGGTGCCACGTCAAGATAAAAAAGTCAGTGAAGTCACTTAATGGAGCAGGTGATAGCGTGTGCACCGTCTTCATGACAAGCGCAAGGCCATTTAAGATGGCCGCGTAGATCTCCATGTGGCCCTCTGCTGTAGGCGCACACCCAGTGCCAGGCCCACACCGACTTGTAATTTTATTGGGATGAGAATTTTGAGATCGACTCCAAGTGGGCGCGCTTTCGTCACGATCCCAGATAGTCAATGCCGATGACAAGAAATGATAAGTCATTTCCGGTAAGTCAAGCAAAGGATTTGAATGACGATGCGTTGGGTCAAGTGGCGATTTTTAAATTGCCCATCCGCAGTTACGTCTTATCTTTCATTATCTTTCAACTCCAAAGTTGACATTTTGATTTTTTACTCAAATAGGAAGCCAATATTAATCCAATATTGGCCCTGTGTAGAGCCACTTTAGAGCCATTCTGCAGTCTATTCGCACTCCGATTGGAGAAAGATGGGCCCGTCAGGAAGGTACTGGCATTATTCGTCACTTGCTGGGAACAGAATCTAATTATAGAAACAGATGCTTGAACGCTTTCATGGAAGTATCGATGTCGAGATTAGCAAACCATGGTCTCGTTAGCAGACGATCCGTTGTCGGCGACCGCTCCACAGGCTGTTCCTCCACAGCATCCACTGGACCCCGAAGAGCAGTCATTGCCCTTGTTCACTTTACTCTGAGCTTCAAGCTTAGTGCAGAAATCAATGTCTGCCTGGGTCGTCAGGGCACCCTCAGGAACAGGCTGACGAGACGGCCAGACTTCCTTTCCAGCAGCTTCCTCGCGCGCTCGATAATCAGTCAGAAGACCACGGACCACGGACTGGAAAAAGAAAGAGCCCTTCTCCATGCTTGAGGGGAGCGCGCTATGAGGTCTTAGAGTCTTCTGGGTCTCAACGCAGAGATCTTTGTCTTCTGACAGAATGCGCTTGTAGATTCGATTGAGTAGCTCGAACTCCGCATCGCTAGAGTTTTTGTTCCGGTAGACCTCGTAGCGTGTGACACAATGGGTCGGTGAAGTGGGCACAAATCGCTGCAAGAAGAAACAATGCGGTGAGACGGTCATTGTGGCATTGGGGAAGTAGTAGGTGCTGGCAATTTTGAGGTCTCTTACAACCTGCTCTGGTGTTGCCTTCGTAAAATCGGCGGAACCCTCAATACCGAGATCGGCCAGAGTTGGAACATCAGAGTTGGTCTGTTGGGAAGTCTCGTTGTAGTTCTCAGCCAGAACCTTCCAGTTGAAGTCACCCTCAGTTTCCCAAGTATGGCTGAACTCATAGTCTTGAGAGTTAAGATCTTGGAATTGGGACTGCAGGTCAATACCCTTGAAGTCTTCTTCCCAGGAGATCTCTGGCTTGACGGCACTATCTAAGTTCACCCAGATGAAGCCGTTCGCGTCGATGTGAGAGTGGATGGGGAGCAGGCCGTTATTGTTCTTGTCAAAGTCTTCCAGATCTTGGTATCCAGGTGCCTTGGCTAGCTTGCCATTTAAGCCGTAGGACCAACCGTGATATTTGCAGGAGAAGATTCTTGAGGTACCCTTTTCCTCGGTCACAACGGGAAAGGCTCGGTGGCGACAGACATTGTGGAATGCGTTGATCTTGCCTTCACGGTCGCGGACTAGAATGAAGCCGTACCCGGCAATATCATATCGGAGGTAGTCGCCAATATTGGGAAGACGCAGCTTGTGTGCGGTCAAGAGCCATTTGCGAGAGAAAATAGCACGGCGTTCTAGCTCAAACATCTCCTGGGAGGTATAAAAGGAGGCCGGAAGAGCCTGCAACGGGGAGTCATCATTTCTAGAAGCTTGAAGTCCAAAGGCTTCGCCGAAGCCCAAGTAGCTTTTTAGCATCGCCGGCATATTGGCTGGTGTGATGTGGGAATGTCAATGTGGTATCGTTTTTGACGAACTGATGAACGTTAAGTGAGCGGACTACATCATATATAGCATTCTGATGGAGGAGCATAGTAAAAACCCGGGGTTCAACAGACAAAGGCCGATCACAAGATCGGCAGACTGTCCTATTTCGGGCGCTAGTGGCTCCCACTCAATGAAAGCAAGCTAAGAGTGGGGAAACACCCGTGCATATCACGCTCGGCTTGGATGCCGCCACTCCGTCCTTATCGGGATTCAATACCGTGTCATCTTTGCTATTATCTCATAGCAGAGATCAAGGTGCTTCCCCTGAAAATAGGTAATCCAGAGGGCGCTCACTCGATCAATGTGAATCAAATTAGTCTGTTCTCCAATTCAATCAAGAGCGCCGCGTTAGCCTCTTATTTGAACCTTACCTCACCCTGATCTTTATGTCAGCTGATGTATTTCACACGGACTACCGATGACTAGCAAAATATATTGTAAGAGTTTGGTAGCCACAGTGGCCATATGGAGCGAAAAATTGAAATAGTTGGCCACTGTCAATTGAGGTGTCTTCGGTTGCTACTAATGTTTCTTGTTCCAAATGCCATTGCATTGCTTCGCTGCCTCCATCTAATAAGCGGAAGCAATTTCTCGTCGCACACGGAGACATTAATCAAAATCCACACGCAGCTCAGATAGTCGTTGGTGCAGCTTCTCTTGAAGCCGCATAGCCGGTGATCATAGAAGCAACATGAAGCTTGCCCAGTGCGTCCTCTTCTGATCATTGAAACCACATTCATGGACGACCTGCACCTTCAAATACTGCAGCATCTTGTGAATTAGATTTTGATGGAACCTCAATGGCGGTTACTGTTTGGGGACCAAGGCTCTGACATGAACCTAGATGACAAACTGAAATGCGATGCGAAAAAGTCGCTCGCTGTAATTTATCCTGCTCCTAGTCACGGCCAGATTTTTGGCGATCAGTTTCCCATCCAGATAATTTAGATGCATCACCATATCATATTCTCAATACATACTTATATTTCAAGACCCGTACTCCAGCCAGAGCGGTCTGCTTTGAGCTGTACTTATTCTTTCTAGGCCAAATTGACATCCGGGCCTGCAGCGCTTAAAATGCCTGCCCTGCCAAGTTATGGTTTTTAGGTCAACTGCGGGCGATTGACTGGCCTAAAAATAATGGGACATGTGCGTGGGAACTGATTCAATTAATTGCTGCCATGCCATTGGAAGACCGGGATCATTCATAACATTTTACTGCTTCCTTCCCATTTGGTATTCCTGAGGAGAGTAAATACTGACTGTTTCAGGAAATCGTGGATTTACAAGACCTTCTGGGAATGATGTGAATACTGATAACAGATTACATTGCCCTATGAGGTATTGTCTTATGGGATCTTTCCAACGTTGCCATTCCCGTCAACATACATTTCGTCAAGTCTAGATGCCATTGAGCGGGAGGGTTATTTGAGCGACACAACTGCCAAGTGGGATGACGACGTGTAATGGCACGTCTTGAATAAATTGTGGCTACATTTAGACCAATCGACATTTCTCATCAAATCAGATACTGAATAATTTCAAGGCGTTCAATCAATTCCCGCTGTGTCTTGCCCATAGATGAAAATTGGACATATAAGGATGGTCTGGATTCCACAAGATGACACTTCTTAGTGAAAGCTCGATACCCTGACCTCCAATAGCCAGTTATTTATACTTGTAAAGAAGATGAATACAAACGGCCTTTTCAAGAAATATAACTTTTTTGATTCTCCATGAAGGACAACCCAGTATCGGCTTCCGCTACCGGTCGCCGGCGGAGACGGGCATTGGCTTCCGAATGTCAGGTAGCTCAGAAGGCAAACGAAGGGACAAATTCCCGCATCGGGTATCAAAGTCCACTGCACAGACCGAATGCTCATACCCACGAGTCATGAAGATCCCTGTTATCATCATCCCCGACTAGAGCTTTCTAAAAAAACTATGCCAACCTTGACGAAGACTATATTATCCCTAATCCTAATGCTTCCATAATGTATCCATACTATACTTCTTCAATGCGGGCCCAGGGAGTATTTCCCTGTCTCTCGGCCGGACAAGGCTTTAATTTGGTACCCCGCACAGTGCAGTGGAGTCTGGACCCACGATGACGGGCGAAATCTGCATGAACCTCATTTCGCAACGGCACACGGAGTTTCTCCGTTACCCTGCTGATTCAGCCCCGCTCGAGCGTCATTCGATCTTCAACTCTTGTGTCGCAGTCCATGCGGTGAGATGAGCTCCTCTAATGAAAACACGATTCACAAGGTATCCTTGAAGCGCACCCGACAAGCGTGCGCTCCCTGTCGGTATGTGCGCTATTAACATGCCGTGGGAAAAGTGGTCGAGCGCTCAAAAGAGTTTGCTGACCACAAGCTCCACATCGTCGCAAGAAGGCACGTTGCCCTGGCGAGAAACCGGCGTGCTCGTTATGTCAACGACTAGGACAGAGCTGCCACTACGGGTCTGAAGCTTTAGCAAAGCAAGCGCGAAATAATCGCACCGCCTTGGCTCATCAAAATTTCAATAACGTGTCACTTCATGAGGTGCGTCATGTGAAATGGACCGAGTAGCGCAGAGTCATCTTCTGATATTACTGACCTTCAGGCAAGGAACTCTGAAACCCTCAACTCACGGCGGCTGCAGCAAATTGAACAACAACTTGATGAGATTTCGGGCCTTCTCCGGTTAGCTACAGATTTTCATACAGAGGCGTATATCAACCATTGACAAGAATGCGTTCTTCAGAGATCGCCTTCCCCGGACCAACCCTTTGACGGAAAATCGCGCAGATACTTGCCTCAATGTGCCGATCAGCTCCAGCGAGACCACGATGCTATCCCAACCACAGCTGATCTTTTATTCAACACCCGGAACGAATCTTCTTAGTATGTCGAGCTGTTTCAGTGTGTTTCAGATTTAAGATCCCGACTTACGCCCATAAGCTTCCCATTGCCGTCCTCCTTAGTCCAAGCCGAAGTCGAAACCTACTTGACCTATTTCCATGACCGACCATATTGCGTATTCGACGAGAGTTGGTTGTTGCAAAATGCATCTTCTCTACCTTCGAATATCGCATACCCTCTAGTAGCTCTCACCCGTCGCCTTTCACCCGATTCACCTGGATTAGCAGGTCGTGAACTGACGATGGGTAAGATATGCGCTGAGCGGGCTTGGAACATTCTATCCTCTGAGTACCAGGATGGCAAAGCAGGGCTGTGATTTCTTCAGGGAACCTTTCTCAATGCTCAATTAGATTTTGCTGATGGAAACGCACATCGAGCATGTGCGTCCGTTGCCATTGGCTTGCGAGTCATCCAATCTTTGGGATACAACCTGGACAGAAATGTCTCAGAAATTAACAATCCTGATATTGAATCAAGGCGGCGAATTACATGGGCTTTCTTCATGCTCGATCGGACGTACAACGCGTCGTGGAGGTACTCATTCTGTCTTTCTGACAACCACTTCACCCTCATGTTTCCGTCGTCAGGAATGGGGAGTCCAACAATTCAAGGATCATTACACAAAATGTCGACGAAGCACGGACAAAAGGTTGATCAAGGAATCATGGCCTGTCTAGTTCAACTATACGCTTTATGGGGCCAGGCCACAGAATGGTTATTTGAGCCTTCCATCACAAGCACTCTACCGCCATGGCAGGCTGGATCTACCCTCTCGATGCTGGAGTCCAAGTGGATGCAGTTCGAAATCCAGTTTGCGGATACCCATCGCTACATTAATGTCGACTTCAAGCGACGTGCTCGAGAAGAGCGACAGTCTCACCGCTACCTGTCGAGTTGGCTCTGCGTCCAATTCCTCTTCCATTCCATACAGTGCCTTCTGCACCGGCCTTTTGTTACGATGATCAAGCTCCGTCACCTGAAAGGTAATCTTTCCGCAACCTTTTTGCAAAAGTCATTCGAGACGTCTTTGATACATTCTCGGTGGATTGCACGGTTCATTAAATAAATGGCTGAGGTGGATATGCGACTCTACGATCCTTTCTTTGGTTATCTGGCTGCAGTCGCTGCTACGATTCAACTAGAGCACACCGGAAACCAAAACCCAAGAATCGCATTACTTGTGAACGAGGAATATCGGGTACTTGTCGGTTTTATGACTGGGCTCTCTTCTCGATGGAAGAGTATGAGAATATTAGTAAACAACAGTGGTCCGGATCAGCGACACAAAAGTCACTAACTTCTCATGTCTAGGTAGATAAGGTATATGAGTTAGCTGCTCGGCATCAAAACTATGGCTCGTTGTTCTACAACCAAGACGGATTTTCCGGGGCATTGTCTACCATGCCAACCCCATCAAACCTACCGAGAATGTCAAGCTCTGATGAAGCTCTGATGTGGGATATTCTGGATCTCACCTCCTCATCGAGCTTCAACAAACCAGCAAATACTGGACGCTTGACTACACATAATGCAAAAACGATGACAAATGGGCCCGATGCCCCGGAGCAGGGCTCAGACGACGAGGATCCCACAACAGGCCAAGAGCAAGTCTCAGTGACTCCAGGCTTTCTTGCCCAGGACCAAGAACTTATGGGACAGGCATCAGCATCCCGCCCACTGAAGGAGCCTTCATCAGATTGGCTATCCTCAAAACAAGGTGGGCATAACGCTGTGGCAGCTGTTCCTGATATACCTGATTGGATGATCTTTGGAGACTTCACAGAGCATCTTTGAGGCTTCTGAGATACCATATTTTAATTTTCTCCGATTGAAATTGTGAAATGAGATTTGAAATTGGAGCCGCATAGGATTCTCAGTTGTCCAAGGGAGAGACCCCTAAGATGTTTACCCTTGTAATTGTATTGGCATGATTGAAGATCTTTAAACGCAAATGATATTGTAACGCAAAGAGTTCGCAATAGTATTATTTTCAGGATATCGCGTTATGTACATAGTCTGGCAGACCATCACAATCCGTAGAAGCTTCCTTAGATCTTAGCCTCGCGAGCAGAAGCCGTCAACGCAGCATCAAAGCTCCCCTTCTCGTCACCAGTCATTTCACGACGTTCGGGTCCGCCACGGCTCCCATCTCCAGTGAATATATCACTTTGGAAGCGGTCTCTGAACTGAGTGGGGAATTTCCATTTGCTAAGCAACTTGTCGGAGAGGCTACGCTCAAGGCATCCGACGGCATACTTGCCCAACACCGGCAGGAACTTGAACGCGCTATAGTTATGTTGTAAACGAGAAGAACCGAAGAGGGCAATTCTAGATTTACTTACTGACCACTGCCTCCAGTGGCAATAAAAACATTCTCTCACCAGTGGGGGTGTCGTTGTACCAGCAAATGCCAACCCGCTCGAAACTTCGATCGGCAAAACGGGGCAAGATACTCTTCAGTCCGGATGCAAGTCTGATCATGCCATCTTGCGGAATGAAGTTGGCACGCGATACTGGCGGCTTGCTGGGTGGAGAAGAAATGCTCGAATCATTGGAATTGGTGTAGCCGAAGCTGTGACAGGCAACTTTGAGGTATCCAGTGCCTTCGTGAGGAGGAAAATAGAAGAAACCAGTAGAAAAATTGAAATAAATGGGAATATCTCTTAGTTCGGCGACTTCATCGGGTGTTAATTTCATGTACCCGACGATTTGACCAGCTGCAAGCATCGCGTTCCATGCGGGTATCAAGCTGGCTGTCCAGGCCCCAGTAGCGACGATGAATAGATCACCATCGATATTGAAGACGCCTGAAGTGTTGACGGAGGTGATCGTTCCATCCTGAGCCTTCTCAAACTCAACAACCTGGCCGTTAAAGCCAGTGATGTAGGACACCCCGGCGCGCACACATCGAGATGCAAGACGGGCAATAGCCTTGCCAGCATCAGCCCAGCCAGCAGCAGTGTTGTAGAAACCGTCAAATCCTGGGGACGCAAGCTCTCCAGTTAATTGAGGAAATCTCTGCTTCGCCTCTGCAACTGTCTTCACGGCGGTCCATTCTTAGCCGATTTCAGTTAGGACGCGTTTAGTCTTTTCGCTGTATTCCTGCGCGCGAGACTGCACTGGCTCCTCCGGAGTCTCTTCCTGACATACCCAGAAGCAGGGAGCAGAGTAGAATGCATCGGAGTAATCGTTTGTTTTCCATAGGTCGTATGCCTCCTTCGCGATAGCGGCGTATATGGTATCACCATAGTCGAACCGAATGATACGAGAAATATCGTTACTGGAGCCATCGGAAACAGGAGGCATAGAGCGGTCAAGAACAGTGACTGCATTATAGCCCTCTTCTTTCAGTCGCAATGCAGTCGAAAGGCCGAAAACACCGGCTCCGACGATGATAATGCGCTCATTCTTGTCCATTCTGAGAAGCAGGTGAGTAATGGAGAATATTTTCGATACATCTTCTCCTAGCGGAGAGAAATGCTTCACCCACCTTGAACGGTCCGTTTTCCGGGTCGACCAGCGCTGGAAGGCGGGCCCTGCAGTGGAGGGACGGTCCGGGAGACGGGCCGTCTCGTATCGCTACCACCACGTAATCTCCAGTCCCCATGAACAGTATGATAGGCATACTCTAGTTTCCATGTACCCAGAATTTGTTCGATCTGGCCAGCATTTGAATCAAGTTGGTAAAATAAATATATTGGCGCATAGGCGAGATGACTAGGTGGGGAGTGCCGGGCGCCCCCCACGCCCTTCCATTTCCTTGTTCCCGTCGTATGGTAGAACCAGATTCATGATGACTCTGACAACGGCGGCGATGATGAAAGGGGTCTCAACCATCAAATTAACACCTTCCTCAAAGCCTTGCAGCCGCACATTTGAACCACTATAATTCAAAATCTTGGAAAACCACTGGGTCGACACAATGTCAATAAACCCAATGCCCAAGGCAGTGGTCAGAATGAAGCGATTGCGTCGGGTGAATTCAACCAGGCTGAGAACTCTGATACCTGCGACCACGATTGTGCCGTATAGGAACACTTGCATTCCTCCAAGCACAGAGGGAGGCATGGAGCCAAAGACTGCCCCGAACTTGCCAAATATTCCTGTGAGAATCAAGACTCCCGAAGCGCACCATCCTGCTCGACGACTCTGTATTTGACTCTACTTAAATTTGCCCCATCTTTGTCGTTGTGGAGAAACTCACAGCACATCCAGTCAAAGAGATCACACCGCTGTTTCCGGCTTGGCCAACCATTGGTAATCCAGTGCCCAGGGCACTAATTATACTGCCGAGGCCATCACACAGGATGCCTCCCTGAATCCGGCTGTTGAACTCAATACCATCAAATTCCACTCCTGAAGTTTCGGCTGTGGCCAAGATATCGGGCATACAGCTGACCGCCTCGCAGATAAACATGATTAGCAGCGGTAATACCAATGCTCCGTCCACCGACAACTAGAAGGCGTGCACCCAGAGAAAGATTGCGACCGGGGCGGCATTGATGTTATCGCGCGACCAGTATCCAGTGGCTCCCGATATTATACATCCAACTGCAAGTCCGAAAACGACTGATGCAGATCGCAAGAGCGGTGAGCCAAACAGTTCGACGATGATGATGGTAAAGAACACGCTGAATCCGAGACCAATGAGCTTCGGGTCTCCCCTAATCGCCAGGGTCAGTTTTGGTCATGACCAAAGGCAGGGCTGGAATGTCGCGCTTACCAGGGCAGTAGCTTTGGTGCTGCAGTGTCGGGACATAGTGCATAGTATCCCGTGCCACCATTGCAGTTAGAACTACCACCCCAATTCTCCATACCATTGGAGATCAGATACACCCCGACAAGTAGCAGATGTGTTCCTGTCACGACCTTTGGGAAGATTCTATTGAGCGTCTTCGGAGGAACAAAGGACATCAAGATCTGGATCCAAACAGTGCAAAGCATTGTACCAAATATGGCACCCCACGCATCAGGACGCGGAAGCTTAGAACCATCAGAAGCGGTAGGACATGTTCCATTTGAATAGCGCATGTCGGTATAACTGAACGCAATCGCAAGAATGTCAAATGTTGGTCCGACCACCGAGAGAAGTCCAGTGCCGATATAGAAAGGTGTCTTTGTTAAATGCACCCGCGTCACCTGCAGAGCTGTTGCAATTCCAGTGGTGATGAATGCAGCCGAGACAAGGTATTGGCTTTCTTCCGCCGACAGGTAAAATGCTCCGCTGGCAATCGCCAGTGGTGGCGACACTACTGACCCGATCATCGTTAAAGCATGCTGAAGGCCCAAGATGATCGTGAGGAGGATGGGAACTTCATCGTTCAATCCATAGAAGGGCGCCTCGTAATCCTTGTACTTTTTGTTCAAGGGCCATATGTTGGGCGTCACAAGATAGAGGTAATCCTGTGAATATTCATATCAGCTTCTGATATGACGAGTGATGGAGTTTTCCACACGTAGTCCCCAATCCATCCTTCTTTTGTCGTAAAGTATCGACAAAGGTACTGCCAGCGTGTTTCGGCCAAAGGCGAAACTTCCATAATTTGTGAACCCCGATCACCTGAATCGAAAGATGTGGTGACCAGCAAACGAGCATCGTCTTTCTCCGGGGACCCCTGTTGATCATCCATGGTCATTGGGAATGTCTAATACTGGATGGTCTCGAGTATCTGTAAATTTGCCGGCGTATGGCACAAAAAGGCTTGGAAATCGGTTGCCAATACCATTTGATATATAGCCATTTTCGAAACCTTGACCATTGAGGCGATGACCATGATAACAGTATCCTTGCATCGTATCGATAGTCCAAGTGGCTTGTGTATCGGTATCAAATGGGGGAGATAAGACTTAAGATTGCTTAGCGTCGGCCGAGGTTCTGGGGTCTCCGCATTGTCGCCCCAAGCTTCGTTTCGGGGAACCAGCATCTGATTAAATGTTAAATGCGATCGCTGAGGACATCAACCGCAAATTCTTCCGACGAGCTCGATAGCTATATTCTTGTGCCAGTCCTTCTTCTTCACCTTTCACTTTTCGTACTGTCTGCAGTCATCATGGCGACCGCCCTATCTGTCCCCGAAAGCAAATTTTTCTACGGAGCAACGATAAATACAGTCAATCAAAGGCGGGAGATCATTCGGAATTGATATATTCGCGTTGAAGGTGACCGAATCACCGCTGTTGCAAAGTCTCCATACCCACAAGCTTTGCCCGCTAGCACCAGGGAGATTGACTGCCACGGCAAAATCATCATTCCAGGGTTGATAAACACTCACGCCCATCTTGTTCGGTCATTGCTTCGGGGGTTGGCTGAGGACTTGCCGCTACATAATTGGCTCTGCGATGCAATTTGGCCCCTTGAGGCCATGTTTCAAGGCAACGATGGGTTTCCATGCGGCGCGTCTGACCATGGCCGAGATGCTGAAGACGGGCACAACCTGTTTCCTTGACCCCATGTTGACCTACCGCGCCGGCTATGATCAGATCTATATGGCTGTCGGTGAAATGGGCATTAGGGGCTGTCTTGTATGTGTCGAAATACGTCCGGTGTGAGCGCCTTGCTAACACTTCATTTCGCGCTATAGGGAAAACTGGTCAAGTTCACCGAAACGAATCGCCAACTCTCAATCACCAACCCGCGAGACCGCGATCTGCTTGCAATGTCTATACCCGCGCTTCTCAATGCGCACCAAAAACACCATAATGGCCACCAGGGCAAGATTCACGTTTGGGCTGCGGCAGGGACACCTCGAGGTACATCAATATGACATTATCTTGAGCTGGGCGAAACATGTTGCAGCAATGGAATATCCGCCACAATGCACTGTGCGGAGGCTCCTCGCGATCGCGTCATCTATCGCGACACATATGGTTGCAGTGCGATGGAGTTCATCCGTGAAGCAAAGCTCTGCCCCCAGCCCAGAAGTGCGCCCAAACATGGCAAACCATCCCATCAACTTGTTCTGGCACACATGGTGAACCTAGACAGCGACATTGACATTCCGTTGCTAGCGGGCACTCAGACTTCGGTGGCGCACAACCCGACTTCTAATTTGAAGCTTGCTTCAGGTATTGCTCCGGGTCCCATCTATGTTGTCTAATTCATCGCCAGTCAACGTTTCTCTGGGAACAGACGGTGCGCCCTGCGCTAATCATTATGACATGTTTCAAGAAATGCATTTGGCGGGAATTCTTCACAAGGGCGTCAACCACGACGCGAGTCTCATTCCGGCAGAGGTGGCATTGGAAATGGCCACCATCAATGGAGCGATAGCGCTGGGATTGGAAGATGATATCGGAATTCTTGAAGTGGGAAAGAAGGGTGACTTTGTTGTGATAGATCCCTATGGGCGGGGTGGACTTGGGGCCGCTCCTTGGAGCGACGACAGTTTTGATCACGCAGTAAGTCCGGTCACTACAATTGTCCACGGATGTACCGGTCGCGATGTAGACATGACAGTGGTAAATGGAGATATACTGGTAGAAAATGGCAAGTTGGCGATTGGAGGACGAGAAAAAGAGATGGAGATTGTTCGCATGGCGCAAGTATCTGTCAAGGCTCTGTTGGAGCGGTGTAACGCAGGCCGTAATGATGATGCCAAAGTGGGAGCAAATCTGGTGCAGTCGTGGCCATTGATTTGAGTGATCTACTTCCCTCACAAGACAAATTTAACTTGATCATGCCCAGCAAAGAGGGAACTACCATGGATCTTTCCGAGGGTTGAACTCAACGGTTGCCCAGATATACAGCGCTCGAATGAGAACGTAAAGTCCCACGAAATGTGATTACTGTGCCACTGCCCCGTTTGAATGATTCAGAGGGCTTCAGTTAAAATGAAGCGAGGGAAGAACGGCCGGACATATCGTAATGTGGAAGTATGCTCAGACACGATTGGGCGTCAGCGTCCGATGTAAAAGGAAAGGCGTTTCATCGTCTCCGACCACGTGATGGTGCGTACGCCTTCCTATTCTAGCTAACCATCTTCTCCACCTTCGCTAGCGTCAACGGCGTAGAGCCATGACGGACGTCTCAGATCAGAAGACTCGGCGGCTCAAACGATGCCGAACGGGCTGTATGCGCTGCCGGGTTCGTCAGCGGAAGTGTAAGTGATCTTTGTCTGACGATGTTGGCGAGAGCTCACCCAAGGCGCAGGCGACGAAGGCAAACCGCGGTGTCGCAATTGTGTTGACAGGAACTTTCAGTGTCAGTACGGACCGCAGCTCACTTTCTTGATGAAGAATACACAGACGGTGCAACCATCAGAGGTCAAGACGGCGGCTGCTGGCTATAAGACTATACGGGTACCTGCTTCTACACTTCAATGCTGGACTCTACTGATCAAGCCAAAGTTTGTCAATGAAGATCCTGAAGGGAAGAGTGACGGCTCTGGCGAAAGCAGACATGGTACATCTCCACGGCACAAAGCGCCCTCGGAGCTGCATCATGAATCTACAGGCTCAACCACACACAGGCCAAGGCAAGCCAACGTCGAGTTGCCACTTTGGTCCTCCGATGAACCTTCTGTGATCTCTATTCCCACAACCTGATACAACGCCATTCACTGACAATGATGAATCAACAGTAGCCGGGTTATTGGCTCTGGGAACAAGCACCGCCAACAGGCCGGGCCCGGACTTGGGCTTTTCGATTTTGGTGTCTCACCAATGTCCACACAGGTGCCAAAAGGCCAGGCGATGACTGGCTCGGAGTTTTCGGACTCCACGACGGCCATCTCTTCATCCGGGCGATCTCAATCATCACATAAGAGCCATGAAGTTTCACCCAGCGAGACACTCGAACTTCTTCGTCACTTTCGCTACGAAATCGCCCCGTGGGTGAGTTAACTTACGATGGACCGAAGAAGAGACAATTGCTGACAAATACCAGTTGGACATTTGTGACCTTGGTCAGCTCTTTGGAATTCAGGGGCTGCAGGTGGCAATGGCATCGCAGTCAATCTGGATATCTGTCCTGGCCTTGTCCGAAGCGTCGATGAAGCTGCAACGTTCTGACCCATCGATTATGGGTAATGACAAGGGATGATGTGCCCGTCTACTCCACATGTTCAGATGGACGTTACGCAACTCATCTTTCTGCGTGCATTGCATGAAGCAAAACATTGTATCACGGACATGTACAGTGCATGGTCGCCGAGAAGAGGGTATGACAAGGAGCTGATGGACATATTCGCTCAACTTGCACTTGGACGAGACTTGGGTTCTGCAAGTTATTGGCTGCTTGTCAGACCTCGGTAAGTCCGCAGAAATCCCATTGCACCTATCTTTGACTGACAATGCCTTGATTTCAGATCTCGCAGCCGCTTTAGCTACGGATACCAACATTCAAGTACCGCTTCCTACCATCTTCCCTTACTGTGCTGGTGTAGATACCGAGGCTGATCCATTCGCGAATGTTTTCCGCTTCGCCCATCACCCTCTTTGGCTTTGCGCACGAGCAGTGGAATTTTGTGCATCATGTAGATCCATCCCCGCAATGCCCTCCACTGCAAGCCTGGATGCAACTCGTGGAGGAGTTGGAGCGATGGCACCAAGATCGGCCCCTGGGATTTCAACCCATCATGGAGCTTGAAATTGAGGATCAGACAGCGGAGTCGCGGCAGAGCTTTCCTCTGGTGCTTTTATGCGAATGGAGGAGGGTTGTTCGCAAACCAACTTTATCACACGGCCATGCTGCTTCTGCTTCAAAATAGGCCACGCACAGCGCGGATCAATCGGTTCAGCTCGGCGATCATGTCACCATTGTGGCACGCGCAGCGCATCTGCAGCATTGCCCTTAATAATGAGCGACGTGAATCCTGGGATGCATGCCTCTTGGCTTCCTTTCTGTCGGTGTCCCGTCGCATGACGCACGAGTCACAGCAGGAAGAGATTCTTTGTGGCTTCAGACGTATCCAGAAGGTCACTGGGTGGGAATCTGGGAGGTTATTGGAAGACCTTCGGGCAGAATGGCGACTTCTCGAGATGTAGACGGTCAAGCCGGCTCGAAAAATACTTGGACAGCTTCAGGTACTGGCTCAGCCAGCTGTGGGTGACTTGTAGTCTTTTCAATCCCATTTGCGAGGCGTTTGGTATCCTCAAACAATTTCCAGATCTCGAATGCGCCAACAGACGCCCCATCCCGTCTCCCCTTCGATGCTTCGAACAATGTTGATAATTATCGCATGCTCAGAAACGTGACTGAATAGGCGGCCCGCTATCCGCAGAGGTTGAATGGCATTGTTTAGACATCCGTGGTGTGGGTTTGCCAGGAAATGCCGCAGATTCGCCGCGCGTGCCACAAAGCCGAGATCGTTGGCTCAGGTTTCAGCTTAATGGGCTTTGGCATGATGTTCAAAAGCAAGATGCAAGCAGTGTGAGAAAATGGTTTGAGGAGATGGCCGCCCAGTGCAGAAATAGGAACTGCGGGAATGGCTTCGTATGAGTGGTGTGCACCGGCAACAATTCCATTCGGCGATTATGAAACCACTGTTGCAAGTCATCCCAGATCCGAAACCAACGATGATGAAAGGTCTCTCCGGTACATTCATTCGGCGTGGCCAATGCCACGAACTGGGTGCGATCGGAGACCAACTCGCACGTTTTCGCACAAAGATAACCGGCATAGTTAGCCTGCATATCAGGAGATTGAGCAGCTTTAAAGCGTTGGGCAGCGTCGTCTTCGTGACAGTCGGGCGCAAGCCACTTGCTCGGCCGAAGAAGGGTGCTCTGAGTGCCATCAGATATCAGAGCCCCACATACATCTATACTCATGAGCAATACTTTCATCAAATCGCAGACCAACTACTTGCTTATCCATGCGCACATAGCACCAGAAGATTGCTTGTAGCAACCCTCTGCTAAATCCATTGATCCCAAAAGCATCGAAGAGCGCAGTGCGTCCCTCCAAATGACGACGCCAGTCTTGGGCACGGGCAGACATCATTTCTAGACAACGTAGCAGCACACAAACCGCGACAACCTTTGGGTCCGGGCTTTGCAACAGCGGGCTCAGCAAACGAATAGCCTCCTGGTACAATTCGATGCTATCGAAGGAATCTTGTTTCCCTTCTTTTCGTTCCATCTGGCGAGCGGATATTGCAAGAATCGCATAGAGCAGTGCCGGGAAAGTACGAGCGAGGGCAGGAATCTGGACGCGAAAGGTACATTGCGAGTCGAACATGTCAAGCTGGATGGAGAGGTTATCAGCGCACTATCTTTGCCTGCACGACCGCAATCTGTTTTTTTTTCTTCTTTTTTTTTCCTTGATTCCCACATCGCGCCATATGTCAATTAAATTATTTACCCATGGAGCCACTTGGCCAACATAATTTTTCAAGTATTCCACTCGCTGGGTTTTGGAAAGTGCCGGTCGGAGCGGTACGCGCTCTGCCTCGGGCGGGTGCTCTCTCGTGTATTCCTGTGCAGCCGGGCTCACCGCCCGTGTTGGTGCTGCAGACTGTGCGATCGTGAAGAGTATGCATCGCAGCTCTTCCTGGGACGCCAGGAATCCCGGGTCATGCGAAAACCCATCGTGGTTCCAGCTGGCAGTTCCCAGCGGCGACGCGAAAGCCGGCCCATCTGTCGAATCGGAGAGAGTGAAAGTGGGCGTATGTCGTTGACCAGGCCAGTCGCTATCCATGGATATTGCAGCTTTGAGCGAGAGCCGTAGGTTCTCTTCCAGGTGAAAATTGAATTGAATTGAATTGTGAAGTTAGGAGGAAAGTGTGGGGAAGAGGCAGATCGGCCGGTTTCTCAATACGGCAGTATACCACCTTCCACTTTGTCTTTGTCCTTGTCCTACAAGATATCGACTTCAACCAACTCGTATACTTCCCCATTATACAGATCATACTTCATCCACATCAAAAAGATGCTACGGAGGTACGAGGAATATGGTGGCATGCCGATCATTCCGATCCCTCTGCAGGAACCAGTCACTCCTGCCACGGCCCCCCTGCAATCCAGTCGCCCTCCTATGCAAGGGAGCCCCTTCGAGGTCTCTTGATAAATACCAAGATCCCAATTTTGCCATTTTCATTGACACTAGGACTGTCATCTGCATCATGTACGGCCTCAAGCAACTCGCGCTGCTGAGCTTCATGCTCCTTTCCGTTTCTGCTAAGGACCCAAACAAGACAATGGTTGGTTCGAAGCCGCCTGGACCCATATTTATTGTGCTAACAGGTTGGTTAGGTCGGATTGGAGACTTCAGAACGCAGCTATGGTGTTGATGTACCGATTGAGGATTGCCACGATCTCGATGAGGAGTAAGTCGCTATACTTCACACGTTCAAGCTCCTTTTCTAATTGATCCCAGGGAGGTCTTCACAATCTCAGTCAAGAAGCATTGCCGTGTTTTCACGTGAGTAAATATCTTTTTCAACCGATTTCCGAAGATCCTGACGGTCAACCTTCCTAGTGGCCCACTGTGCACTGGCCGAAACACGGTGCTGAGCCCCGGCGACCACTCAAATGATGATCCCGTTCCCATCACATCGATCTACTGCCACGCGAAGCGTCCATACTAGAGAATAGTTCTACGATACCATTTGCCTTTCTACCGGGTGAGGAATCTTCCTTCTGGCCCGGTCGGCTCCTACGCAAAATTACAAATTGACCCTCTAGCATTTCAATTTCGACTCGAACTGGTCAAAGTAAACTCTGGGCCCTCACAAACCTGCGTAAAAGCAACCTTAGGCATTTTGTACGTGTAATTATTGATCATTTAGCTCAATTCTATAATGAAGCCTCTTGGTCGTCTACCACCATGACCTTGATGCTACCGTTCCGAGTATCGGCACAGAGATGCAGAGCCTCTTCAGCCTTTTCAAGCGGGAAAACATGCGGTACCAGCTTCGTCAGGTCTAGAATCCCACCGCTCAGGCACTGGATCGCTGGTGGCCACGTGTCACAGTAGCGGTTGTTGAAGCGTAGGTCAATCTATACCTATCAGTACTTGATTTGATCAAAGTGAGGTCAGAGGAGCCACCTACCTCAGCAAGAGAGAGGTGCATGAAGGGCAAGTTGTTCATCATCGCTTTCCCTACTCCAATTACCATCACGGTGCTGCCTCGTCTCGCAGTGTATGCCGCGGTACACATACTACTCTCCACGCCGGTGCACTCCAACACCGTGTCCGGGGCCACGTATTCAGAGTCTCCAAAAACCGTCCGGATGGCCTGGGCATTTCCCTGAGCATCCTTGGTTCTATCAACCTGGTAGGTGATGCAAGAAGGAACAAAGTCCTTGGCAAAGGCCAACCGGCTAGGCTCCAAGTCCGTGATCACGATGGGATGCGCACCCGATGCACGAGCAGCAGCCAGCGCGATCAGACCAATCGGCCCGGCACCACAGACTACGACTCCGCGTCCCAGGCTGAGTCCCGTGGACCTCATGCCGTGCATGACTACTGAGAGTGGCTCGAGCAGAGCACCTTTGGCGAAGCTGACATTGTCAGGTATCTAATGTAGCCACTTTGCCGGATGCACTTTAAATCTCTGGATTGTGCCGTGGTATGGATAGACGCCAGCGAATTGGACATCTTCGCAAAGGTTATATCGTCTCTCGTCACACAAGAAACAGTTATCATAGGCAGTTATCATAGGGCACTCCCGGCTCCACGGCCACTCGGTCGCCTAGCCCGATGGTATCAGCACCCTGCAAAGACTTGTTGAATGAGAAGAATGGAAAAGAGAATACGTACCAGCCTTTAGATTATTCACACCCTCACCACATTCTAGCACGATACCCGAAGCCTCATGGCCGATAATGCAGTCGCCCTCGAACATCAGAGACCCAATGCGGCCTGTCTTCCGGAAATGAATATCCTATCCACAGATGCCCGTGGCTTTGATGTGAACGAGCACCTCTCCTCACCCAGGCGCATAGACTGGTGCATTTACTGACTTCAACTGGTGGTCGGCAGTCACTTGTAATGATGGATTGGGGGTTGAAGTCTTGATTATCCTCTTGTCGAGTGGTCTGGCAGGCGCGGCAATGAGTTGCTCGCCTGGTTGGTCCACAAGTAGTGATGGCGCCATTTGTGAGGCGTATCTTTTCGTATTAGGTGCGAGTGCAAAGTATGGAGGGGAGTAAGTCTTTAAGTAAGTGAACGCTGTCGACAAAGTCGCCCTGTTGATCCACGCGATGTGGTTGAAATTGCCTATCTCGTACGAGTGGTTCCGATTACCTGATTCGGTACTTGCCTGAATGGGTTGTGTTTGTCGACGCCCACGTCAAACTATTTGAAGCTCACAATCCCATCGCTGTGTCCCCCGGTCCATTTATTCTCTGGATTGCAATCATGACTATGACCAACGGTGCTCATGTTCACAAGTCCGTGCCGTCGGCTCTGCCTTTGGTGCAGAAGCTGTCTGAGGACCATGACCTTGTTTTGAAGACATTCCGTCTTTTGATCGCAGGTCTCTGCCAGCAATTTGGTGGTGGTCATTCTGGGTATGTTGATGATGAATAGCGTGCGACTTTTAATCTAGAGACTGACTGTGACCTAGTGGTGCTGTTGGCATGGCCGCAATTGGTGTCTTTCTTTGGAAGTATGTGATGCGTTATGCGCCGCACACTCCCGACTTCTTCAATCGCCATCGATTCGTCCTTTCCAACGGCGAGTCCAGGAACTGCAGTATCTAAACTGACAAGCTGATTTTCTACCACCTAGGCACACTTGTCTCTTGCAATACACTTTCCTACACTTGACCGGATACAAAGCTATGACTCTCGAGCAGCTCGAGTCCTACCACTTGGATCGTGTAGATGCGCTATGCCCTGGACATCCAGAGATCGAACACGAGGGTATCGAAGTTACGACAGGTCCCTTAGGCCAGGGCATTGCAAACGCTGTGGGTCTCGCCAAGGCCACCAAGAACTTGGCCGCCACCTACATCCGCCCCGGTTACGATGTTCTTGACAACCACACTTGGTGTATGATTGGAGATGCCTGCTTGCGAGAGGGCGTGGGCCTTGAGGCTATCTCCCTTGCCGGTCATTTCCGCCTGAACAATCTCACTGTCATGTATGACAACAACCAGATTACTTGCGACGGATCCGTCGATCTTACAAACACGGAGGATGTGAACGCCAAGATGCGTGCCTCTGGCTGGAATGTGACTGATGTTAAAGATGGTTGCTTCGACATAGCGGGAATTGTAAGCGCCTTGGAGCAGGCGCGTGCTTCCAAGGACAAGCCTACTTTCATCAGTGTTCATACTGTCATTGGCCTCGACAGCAGCGTCGCTGGCACTGCCGTCGCTCATGGTGCGGCATATGGAACCAGAAGTGTTGCCGATATCAAGACTCTCTATGGCTTCAATCCAGAAGAGCACTTTGTCATTGGTGATACTGTTCGCCAATTTTTCAAGGAACTACCAGCTCGCGGCCAGCGATATGTTCAGGAATGGGATCAGCTGGTGAGGGACTACAAAACCGAATCTCCTGAACTTGGGGCGGAGTTCCAATCTCGTGTGCGAGGCGAGCTGCCAGCAGACTGGCAGAAGTACATCCCGTCCAAGTTCCCGGAAGAGCCCATAGCCTCGCGTGCTTCCTCTGGTCTCGTCTTTAACCTTATTGCAAAGCGAACCAAGACCTTCATGGTCGGTACCGCCGATCTGTCTCCGTCAGTCAACATGATATGACCCGGCAAGGTGGATTTCCAGCACGTTAGTCTCGACCCTTCCTTCTCAACTTCACCTTTTCACTCACCTTATTCATAGCCCGCCTTGCGCACTGATTGCAACATGCACGGAAATTACTCTGGCCGTTATATTCACTGGGGTGTCCGTGAGCACGCAATGGCTGCCATCTCGAACGGTCTCGCGGCCTACTCCCCCAATACCATCATTCCTGTCACATCCTCCTTCTTCATTTTTACCTTTACGCCGCTCCAGCCGTTCGTGTGGGTGCCCTGCAGCAGCTCCAGATCGTTCATGTCGCTACACATGATTCCATTGGAATGGGTGAGGACGGTCCTACCCATCAGCCCATTGAACTGGCTGCATTGTATCGTGCCATGCCAAACCTGCTCTATATTCGCCCCGGTGATAGCGAAGAGACTGCCGGGGCTTGGATCGCTGCCATCAATGCCAAGAAGACCCCAAGTATCATCTCGACTTCGCGCCAAGTTCTTCCCCAGCTTACGAGCACTCGCCGTGATGGTGTCGCACTTGGTGCTTACGTTCTTTCGGAGAGTGAGTCAGCTGTGTTTACCCTGATCGGTGTTGGAGCTGAGCTTTCCTTTGCTGTGGAAGTTGCCGAGAAGCTGGAGGCCGAGAAAGATGTTTCTGCTCGCGTTGTCAGTTTCCCCTGCCAGCGCCCATTCGAGCAACAGTCGCTGCAGTACAAGCGTGATACTCTCCGACGTCATCAGGGTATTCCTGCTGTTTTTTTTGAGCCATATACGCCAAACGGTTGGGAGCGTTACGCAGATGCGAGCATTTCTGTGACGCGGTTTGGCCACAGCCTACCTGGATAAGCGGCATACAAGTTTTTCGGCTTCGATATGGGTACCTTAACGTCCAAGGTTGCGGGTTACTTAGCGCAGATAAAAGAAGACGAGCTCCTTCGCGGAGAGTTTGTTGCATTGTGAAGCATTTTATTAGCTCGCATTTGTCAGAGTGTGTCGATTCCAGATCCTGGCATGAGTCTCTTTTCAGAACTAAACTAACGGATTTGATGTAATAGATCCCTTCTTGAATTTCCTATGGATGAAGTTGCCACACCCAATTGTTCGCGAACACTAAATTTTAGTTTCCGTGCTATCACTAACTGTACCTTGGGTGGGAATTGATGCCTCGGGCAAAAGGTCTGATGGCACACCTTGAATAACTACCTGCCTCAAAATTCTTCAGCCGAGAAACAATTTGCGGCCAGCACTCCATGATTCACAAATCAGCAGCAGAATACATTTCTTTCGTCACCATTAGATGTCGTGGCACCTATTGCGGGGGCCCATCCGCAAAGGGGGCCCCTTGCTCAATGCGGCGATTGGAAGCGCCCAGGCGCCGATTCCGCTCCCAACATAAGCAAGCTGTGCGGGGCCATAACTTCGCGATGCCGGGAGCACACACATTGGCGGTTCGAGCTCTCCGTCAAATAGGATGTTGAGTCGACACTGAACCTACCCATTACTGGTCCTAGGTATAGAACGAACTTGTCCGGAAATTCTTGACGGTGATCAGCTCCCGTATTGATGAGAATAAGCCACATATCGTAGATCGACAATTTCTCTTGGGCATATAGCAACTGCGGTCTATCGAGGTTCACTGAACTCCTGGTCCCAATGAGACTGAAGAACAAAAGGTCGCAAGTGCAGCAACCAAAAGCACACAAAGCAAGATAATATATAGAGTATGTTTATTCACGGATGAGGACCATCGTTCCCCACTCCATACCCGTGACTCGAGTAATCTGGCCCGCGTTCCTTTCATTGCGGTCAGGCTCAAGAGACTAGGAAGCGGAGTCACTGCTTTCTCAGCTCCCGAGCGGTTTGAATCATCGTATACCAGGGAACACTTTCCAACGCAATCTGCTGGAAACATGTCTTGAAATCCGGCTGACTTGACCCAGTGAAAGTACCAGGACAGGGCCAATGGGAAGGCTCTAACGAAGCATGCGAGCCCCAAGATGGAGAAAGTGGAGAAAGTGGAGGGGAAAAGACACGGTACGCTCTATACACACCGTGATGTGATACGTTTCTGAATCCTTGCAACTGCAATGTCACTTGGCAAGATTTGAAGACTCAAGCGATAAAGGAAAACCTTGCGTCCTTCATCGAACACTTTGCCTCCAAAGTCGCTATGCTTCTCTCCTTGGCACTGCTTCCTGTTGTTCTCAGCGCCGCAGTGCGCCCGCGAGGATCAGGGCTGAGAAACATCAAAAATGTCGTGGTCTTGGTACAAGAGAATTTATCTTTCGATCACTTCGCCGGTGGTCTCATTTACGATGATAAGATTGACGGATTGGTGGGCCGTGAATACTGTAACCCGGCCAATGTGTTACACTCACGTTCCTCTCAAGTCTGCGCCCGCAACGAAGCGGCAAATATCGCGACAGATGATCCAAATCATAGCATTTCGGGGATCAACATGCAGATCTTTGGCACGTACCATCCGCTTGCACGGGCTCCATCTTCTATGGATGGATTCATCACCGAGCAGCGAGCTTCTTACGAAAAAGACAACTTGAGCCGTGCAGCGGAGGTGATCGACTACTTCGCTCCTGAACACATCCCTGTCTTCCAGGCACTGGCAGAGAACTTTGTGCTCTTTGATCGATGGTTCGCAGCTGTTCCAGGTCCTACTAATCCCAACAGAGCGTATCTGACCTCGGGCACTTCGCACGGCCACGGCATGAACGACAACACTTTCCTCGTCTCGGGCCTTCCGCAAAAATCCATCTTTGAACAGTTATCGGAGAAGGGAATCAGTTGGAAAAATTATGAGAATTCTACAAGGTCAGATCCGCCATTTTTGCCTGACGCTCTCTTCTACGAATGGACTGCAAAGTCCAACGTTGGCAAGAGCAATGTGTTACCGATCGAGCGCTTCTACCAGGATGCGAGGGCTGGTAAACTTCCCCAATTCACCTGGATCAACCCAGAGTGCTGCAACTATATGTCGATGCACCCACCCTCTCCAATCAATATGGGCGAAAACTTCGTGAAGAGCGTGTACGAAGCTGTGCGCAACTCTCCCCAATGGAACGAAACTCTGTTTATCCTGACGTGGGACGAGCACGGCGGGTTTGCTGACCATGTGCCTCCGCCCACTGACATCCCTGCTGGTGATAGTTTGACTTATACGGAGCGAACTCCCGATGGGCGAGACTACACATTCCACTTTGATCGCTTGGGGGTCCGTGTTCCCACGATCCTTGCTTCTCCGTGGGTTGAAAAGGGGCTGGTTCAAAGTAAGCCCCCTGAGGGAGATAACGAATTCACGCATACCTCAATTCTGAAATTTCTCTGTGAACTGTGGGACTTGGAGAGTCTGTCTCCCCGCGTGGATTGGTCGCCATCATTTGGTGATCTAATTACCTCCGAGTACCGCCAAGACACCCCTCAGCAGTTGCCGGATGCTGCTGACTTTTGAAGAACTCATCCATGATACCCTATTTTTGATGACAAAATTGAGACAAAATATTAATTAAGGTGCAAACACTCTATGGTCGGGTATAAATAAACAAACCCAAATGCTCCAAGAACCAGCATCATCGACATTCCAGGTCACTTCAACAATCTAGGCAATTAGGACTTGCCAGCACCGAAGATCCTCCACCCACTGCCCTTGGTGGACTTGGATTTCGATTTCTGGGTAATTGCCGAGTTCCGCGTATTCACGCGATCAATATCGTAGGGATTTGCTTCGTACGTTGTCTCAACACGCTCCGACAAGGTGTCCCAGTCAATCGACTCACGTTGCTGAGACTGTTCAATGCGCATCGGTACAGGCTCATTGTCTGCCATAGCCTCTTGGAGCTTCTCCTCAACCCGGTCACTGTTATGGGCCTTTTTGGCCAGTGCTCGCATAAAGTCATCCGCCTCAGCGGCATACTTGCACTTTCGACGAATGCTGGCTCCATATCGGTAGAAGATGAAAGGGAATGGAACACATGCGAGTGAGAGGAAGGCTGGCACGCAAGATGCCCAGTGAATGCCAAGATTCTCATACATGTAGGTCGTGAATAGTGGAAATCCAGCTCCGAAGCACGAACGTATGATCGAGTTGGCGGCGAGGACCGATGCGGCGTAGATAGTGTATGCGTCGATGAGATAGTTCATAATTCCCAGGAAGACGAAGACCATTCCAAATCCGAAGGGGGCTGTGGCGAGAACGCACACGATCCATGGGATTGATGGGGAGTTGGTCCAGGCAAACCAGAACAGGCCGATTGGAATCGCGATACCACCCCACATAGTAGGTGGGAGCCGAGCTTCAGGTGGAGCAAAACCGTTGTGTTGGTGATGAATGCGTACATAGCGCTTGTTGTCGTACATGTTCAGACCGACTGCGATCATCATACCGATCATCACGGCAAGGAAGGGCAAGCTGCCAACGCCTTCACTCCACCCACGGATTTCTTGAAAAACAATGGGGAATGCGTCGAAGAGCATGTAGAGTGTTCCGTAAACGATCGCCATGTAAAGCGATAGCAAGAGAACAATGGGCTCGGAAAAGAGCAGAATCCAAGGTCTGCCGAGGGCAGTCGTAAATGCATCACAAACGGAAACTTTGCCGCGGTCGATATCCAACTTGCTTCGATAGACCTTGCCATTTATTGAAGATAAGCGCTCTGCTCTTTTGCGAAGCAAGACAGGCGCATACGTCTCGGGGATGCAAAGCGTTTCCGCCATCCAAATGACCCCGGTGAAGACGGCCAGGAACCCCTGGACCCATCGCCAACCTGCGTTCTCACCGAGGAAACCACCGATCACCGGTCCCAAGGTCGGTCCTAGGAAAGGAGCACCTGCGAAGAGACTGGTTGCCAGACCGCGCTGGTCTGCGGGGAAGATATCGGCAATCACACCACCTGCATTAGTGAGGGGTGATGAGCCGAAGGATCCCGCGAAAAACCGCAGGATGATCAAGGTCCAAATATTTTGGGAACCTGCTGCGCCCGCGCAAAAGGCCGATAGTGACAGGAAAGTGATGATGAAGACGATCTGCCGTCCGATAAGCTCGCTCAGAGGTGCGAATAGTAACGGTCCGACGGCGAATCCCAGCACGAAGAGTGAAACACCTAGGGTGGCCACCTCTTCACTCACATCCAGGTCCGAGAGGACTTCGGAAATGCCACCAGCGTAGGCGGACGAGGACAGGGAGACAGCGAAGGTGGCGAGGGCGACCAGCACCGTGTACGACCATTTCAGGCCACTGCTGAATTGCATGGGATTGCGGGGATCATTCGGAATCCATTCCACGATATACGGATCATTTTCAGTACCTGATCCAGCATAGGGATACTCGGTGATCTCAGGAGTAACCACGCCCTGATCAGTCAAGATACGCCAATACGGGATCCGCTGCGGGCGCGTTTCTTCAACTCCGTCGCTGACCATGACTTTCAGGGTGCGTCCCATGGTATGTCACGGAACTAGGAATGGAAAACATGACATTGTTTCGCGGAGGACGATCCTATAAGTATGGCACGATGCTTTGAGGTACAATTTGTTCCAGCTGCGTTCGCCTGGGATGTCATGAAGCATCGTGATTGCTCGAAACCAGCACGTAGGATCCACCAAGTGGAGTTCCCTGCCGTGTTTTAGCTGGCAAAAAATCCATCCTCGGCTCTCTTCTCGGCAAGCCGACCGATGGGATCTGCGGTGGACGCTGCCCAAGCCGCGGCTGCACAAATCCTCGTACGGTACCTGGTTATGACAGCCCAATACCGGCTCTCAAACTCGACTTCTGATGCCTTCCTAGGTAAACATCTTTTGCTCCACGTTGATTTCCTACGTCTTGGAGTTGTGCTGCTTTGGTCAATTTTCACCAGTACCATGGCATTGCTTCGATTCAACCACTTCTTAATCCCTGCACAAGGCCCCCGAGAGAGTGTTTCGCAGAGGGGAAGGGTGGTGAGGAAATGGTTGTACCACACGGAAGCCCAAGAATTCAAGAATTCAAGGAAAAGAGTGGCAGCTTACCCGATAGGGCTGGCCAATGCCGCAGAGGTGGAGAGTACTCCTTAGGCAATCACCTGCAAGGCGATGACCAAAGCCTGGGACACTCTTAAATGAACAAGACAAGATTCAATAGAGGCAAGCTAACTCAGCTCCGGGGAATGTACCGCAACTGGTCAGACGCTCTGGTGGAGATGGTTCATCTGTTGCTTCTTCCCAGCCGATAATCAACAGGGGAAATCCCTTGCACAAAAGGTGCTGCGAGATAACCTGTTCCTCTTCAAGCATTTCTCACACTCCATTTAGGTACATCTTCAACAGAAAGTTAGCTTGTTCGCGTAGCTTTTTGCTCCACTCCGTAAAATCGCCAAGGAAGGGAAGACCATTATGCCCGTATAACACCCCTTGTGCTGTATCTGCTCCCAATGAGAGAGCAAGAAGCGCGTGTTATCAAGAACCTACTGTCAAGAATGACCAATCCCGATGTTTCACGGCTGTGATCGACATTCCTCTTCTAAATTGGATATCCCTAACAATGTACAGGATATTCACTCTATTTGGTCATCTCGAAGGGGCGAGTGACAGCCTGACTTGATCATATAGGGCTGCAGCCATTCTCCCACTTCTGTCGTCCGTAGCGATAAAGTTTGATTGTTCAGAAAGATTATTCTCCTCGGCGCTCAGAGTTTGCAGTACACCACTGTGTAGAGCGCAAACAGCGGTATGCTTCAAGCTGTAGAGTCCGAGGCCTGAGCGCGTGAGCTGGTGAGAGTGCTCAACGGCGCAGATCTGGGGATCTGTCGTCACATTACTGGGTGCGAAGAGCCCCCACCCCCCGAATGCCAAGTATGTGGTGTTCGAAGAGCTTGAAGGCGTCCTGATTGGGGGAGGTATCTGATTCTAGGAGATTTGTTTCGTCATTTCCTCCGAGGTCCTGCAAGCTTAATTGACTCCTTATATAGCTTGCTCTCTCATGGGTTTCAGTTTTCTCGCCCCAGTGAAACAGTGGACTCGCCTCAGAAGAAAGAAATTTATCAACAGCTCGAAATGCCTTCGCCGACCTATGACCAGTCTGAACATCCACCTTCGTGTCAGACTAAATTCAAGACATATCCGCCAAGTATCGCTACCAGCAGTATTGATACTGGATCCTCATCGCCATCCTACAAAGAGGGCGATATTGAGTATGTCAGCAGAGAAGATGGTCTACCTCCGATAGATGGTGGTAAGCAAGCATGGTTATTTTTAATAGCCTCCGCGATGCTCGAAGCGTTAGTATGGGGTGAGTCGAACGCTTGAAGAAGTTGCTAATGATGACAACAAAACTGACAGAGACAGGGTATGCGTTTTCGTTCGGAATATTCCAAGATTATTATAGCGCCCATGATCCATTCCGAGGATCGGCTAACATTGCTGTTATCGGAACATGTGCAATGGTAGGCATAGCCTTTCGATATGCAGTTTCAAACTAAATTGACGGGACTCATAGGGAATTGCTTATTTGATTGCCCCATTAGCTATCGTGGTCATGATTATGGTGCCCGCGTTGCTCGTTGGGTATCGACCGCAGGCGTCGTGATCATGTGTTTGTCCCTGGCCATCAGTTCGTTCTCGACTAACGTGACGCACCTGATTTTGTCGCAAGGGATCGGGTTTGGCGTGGGTGGATGTCTCTCCTATACGCCCTCGATTCTATTCATGTCGGAGTGGTTCTGCAAGCGAAAGGGCCTGGCGTTTGGAATCGTGTGGGTAAGTGATAGACATCCTATTTGCCAGAATGAACAGCCCCGTTAAATTGCTTCAAAAAGGCGGGTTCAGGATTGTCTGGAGTGATTTTCCCATTGGTTATCCAGTGGCTTCTCAACCACTACGGAATTAAATCCACCCTCAGAATCTCAGCGGTGGCTCTTTTCATCCTTGCTGCCCCATTCCTCTACTCCCACAAGCCTCGTTTACCTATCCGCGAAAGTGTGTGCCACCGTCGACTCAGCTTCACCTTCCTATACAGCAAGGTATACATTATCTACCAGCTAGGCAACACCATTGAGGCTTTGGGATTTTTCCTTCCTACCATCTATCTCCCGACTTACGCCCGCAGCCTCGGTGCCAGCGAATTCATGTCCTCGCTCACAGTGACGCTCTTTAATTTGACTTCGGTCTTCAGTTGTGTGGTCGTGGGATTTCTGTCAGACCGATACCATATCACCACTTGTATCCTGGTTTTGACTGTCGGTACAGCCTTGTCAGTCTTCTTCATCTGGGGCTTTTCAACAACGATTCCGACGCTTTACACTTTTTGTATAGCATACGGTTTACTCGCTGGTGGATACTCGTCAACGTGGTCAGGCGTTTCCAACGAGATCCAGCGAAAAAAATCCAGAGGCAGATGCAACAGTGATCTTTCCATTCATGGAAACCGGTCGTGGAATAGGCAACCTGGTCAGCGGCCCGCTTAGTGAGGTACTGCTCAAGGCAGATCACTGGAAAGGCCGTGCGTGGGGAGCTTACGGAAGTGGCTTTGGCACACTTGTGGTCTGCACGGGCGCAACTGCGCTCGTCGGGGGAATCTCCGTGGTGGCTCGCCAAATGAAGTGGCTATGAAAGGGGGGGCAAGCCAATGCGGTTCGGAGAGGAAAATGAGATTACTGGAAAGATCTCTGGAAACTTGGGTGTACATCACCACCTCGCACGGCAAGAGAACATATGTTGAATGTTTGGGACTTGTGTTACAATAATAGATTTTCGAAATGATTCGTTGAATAATATGGACAAAAGTTCGCTGCAGAAAATGCCCAGTAGAAAATTGCACCCGCTGAGACGGAACATTATGCATGAAAATTGACACCAAGAAGACTTTACTTGGTGACAAAGCCCCATACCTTCCAATACCACTTCTTGGGAGGGCCGGTTTCCTTCTCGTAGTGAAGTCGGCCTGTATCAAGATCTGCCTCCGCGGGGCGAACGAACCTTGATCGCGTGATCAGCTTGTGCCCAATATAGAGCACTGCGAAGACGATAGGACAAATATAGGCGAAGAAAAAGTCTGTCACGTTAAACTTGGGAATGAAAGACGTGAATCCCTGAGTAAGGGCGATAAGGATGTTGAAGAACAGGCCGTACCAAGCCATATACGGCTGTAGAATGGCCTTGTAAGGGAGCGTATCGCGGGAGATATTACGTGCAGCCAGTGCCCGCATGAATGCGATATGAGAGGCATTGATGCAGGACCAAGTCACAAATCCGGCGACACTCGACAAGTTCACCAGCCAGTTGAAAACCTGTCCTGCATTTTCCGACACATTCATGAAACCCAAGAGACCAAATAGTGCAGTAAACATAACGCTCACGTATGGCACGCCACCTTCAGTGGTTCGGGCAAAGATCTTCGGGGCGAATCCCTCGTGAGCCAATCCGGTCAAGATACGGCTGCCACTATATACGTTAGAGTTGGCGGCAGACAATACCACGGTCAGAAGCACCGCATTGATCAGACTGGGTAGAACCTTCACGCCGGCGAGATCTGCTGCGATGACCAAGGGCGAGGACGAAGCATTGGTGTCGCCAGTAGTCAGTCTGCTATTGGTGTAGGGAACGACCAGCCCAATAAAGAAGATTGTCAAGACAAAGAATAACAAAATTCTCACGAAGGTTTTGCGAATTGCCGAAGGAACAGTCTTTTGGGGGTTCTCGGTCTCGCCCGCTGCCACGCCCACAAGCTCGGTTCCTTGGTATGAGAAACCAGCCTGGATCAGAACTGCCCAGAACCCAACAAACTTACCCACAGACTCCGGCTGGTGAATAATGTACGTGTTGAAGGCGCCAGGTTCATGCCAGTACCGGAATCCAAGGTAGCCCTGCTCGCCGACGCCGACATCGACACAAATAGCGAAGATCATAAAGCCGATGACGGTCGCCACTTTGATGGTCGAGAACCAGAACTCTAATTCACCGTAAAAGTTGACCGGCAAGAAGTTCAAAGCCGTGATAAATATCCAGAAAACCCCGATGAAGATGGCGATATTCAAACTCGGGTCCCAGTATTGAATAATCGTTCCCGTGGCGGTCAACTCGACAGCAAATGTTGAAGCCCAATTGAACCAATAGATCCATCCCATTGAGAAACCGAGACTGGGGTCAATCAAACGAGCGGCGTAAGAGGTGAAAGCTCCGGGAATGGGAATGTAGGTTGCGACTTCACCGAGAGATGTCATGACCGAATAGACAATGGAACCGACAAACATATAGGCGATCAAGGCGCCCGCCGGGCCGGAATTTGCGATAGCCGTTCCACTGGAGATGAAAAGACCTAAGCTGGTTAGCTTTGACGAAGGCTTTTTGAGCTGATAGTCGTTCACCTGTGCCAATAGTTCCACCTATGATTACTCATTAGTACATTGAGTCGCGCATGTCATAATCAGTATAGAAATAGAGCATACCAATTGCGATCATCTGCAAATGCCGACTCTTGAGCTTACGCTTCAGCTCTCCCGGAGGAGATGCCGGATTATCATTCTCCTCCGCGTCGCTGGGCTTGATATCTTGAGCAGCATGCTTGCTTGACATAGGTGAAGCCTTCCCATCCTTCAGCGGTTCGCTAGTGACCTTGGCAACCTTTTTAGAAGCCATTTTGTGTCACCTTGGACTTTGAGCCAGCAAAGAACAAAACCAGATGGAGCGCTTGGATCCTGAAATCAGATGAATTTTTTTTTTTTTGTACATGGCAGCCAGATTTCCGTTTTCGCTTGCTTCGGTGGGTTCCTAAAGCAAATGTCGACCCACTTTGTTGCAGCCCAGAGACAAATTTCTTATGTAATGTGAACCAGAAAGGAAAGACAACACGACCTTTACCCACGAAGTCAAGCGCAAATTTTCTTACGAGTCCACGGTACGACCGACGTTGAAGCTTCCATTTCCACGCCATCCAAGTTTGATCATCATATCTCCCCCTGGAGTTCCAGTTCAATGGAAAAGAAGCAAGATGAATCGACAAGATAAGGTCACGTGCCCTTTACGCAGATCCAGGGCGCGGAAGTCTTTTCTCTGTGATAAGTTCATGAATTCATCACACTTGTAATCCGGCTCTTACAGACCAATGTCCATCATCGTACTTTCAAGCCAAATACGTGACGCAGCTCCAGAATCTCTCTGTAGATTAGGGTTCTCGAATAGCGCGGACATCTCAATCGCTGCAAGAGTTACTGTCCATGCTGTTGACGCGCAGGGGCAAGACTATATTTTGGCTTTGGCCTTTTCCATAGCTTCCAACTCCTTCTTCTTCGGCCCTACAAATCCGAAAATATATGCAGCAATTTTGCGCATTTGTATCTCTTCTGCACCTTCTGTGATACGATAGCGTCTGAAATGGCGATATATGTGTTCGAAGGGATAATGGCGAGAGTATCCATCGCCGCCGTGGATCTGTCGAGTCAGTGTTCGTTGAGGCAGGCTCGCATCCCGGGACTCACCTGGATCGCTCGATCTGCAGCCTGGCAACAAAGTCGGTTCGCCCAGAAATTGCACATGGCGACTTGGTCGCTGAGCTCACGCTCAATAGCAACCCACGGTGGGTGCTGCACCCGGGACGATTTGCATGTGGCGACGACACGGTCCATTTCCCAGCTCGTCTTCAAAATGAGAAGACGGAGCATCTTTACCTGAGTCATCAATTCGACCACCGGGAACTGAATGGCCTGGTTGTCGGCCAACATTTTGCCTTCTCCCCATATTTTGCGTGAGCGCGCACGCTCAATGCTTCGTTCCAGACAGAACTTGGCGGCGCCGCAGGAGCTGGCCGCCTGGCGTATACGGTTCTCATGCACAAAGGTGTGGGCAATGGCTAGCCCTTGATTGAGAGATCCGAGGATATTTGATTCAGGCACCCAAACACGGTCGAGCTCCACTGTTGCGTGGTCGGTGGGCATATTAAGCGTCCATTCGTAGCTAGCAATCCGGATACCCGGAGTGTCACGAGGGATGAGAAAGGCTGTGATCCCTTTGGCAGACCCCGGGACGCCGGATGTCCTTGCGAATATAAGGAAGTGAGTGCAATGATGAGCGCCCGTTTGCCACTTCTTCGCCCCCGTAATCTCATATCCACCGCGTTCTTGATGGGCAAATGTAGACATGAACGTCGCATCACTGCCATGATCTGGCTCTGTTAAACCGAAGGTTAATCCAAACTCCTCACGAAGACGCGCGGGAATGAAGGCCTGGCGCTGCTCCTCGCTGCCGAAATGATGAATCATGAGGATATCGGGGAAATTTCCGACAATACTATGTTCGTTCTGTAGATCATTTGCGAGTCCGAGGCCACCGCCGTAAATGGGATGTGAAGCCAGGTGGAACCGGATCGCAGACATCCACAGGTTTGTTTCTGGGTGTTCCTCGCCACCATATTGTTTGGGGAGAGCGAATCGGTAGAAGCCTGCTCCATCGGCCAGGTGCCGAGCCTGGTCTATGGAATTGTCAGATCTGCTTTCATCTTTCGCGAGCATGGTGCTCACTCAACAAATCCTCCCATTCTGCACGGGGGTTCCCATTTCGCTCCCAGTCGGTTCGAGTATACTCGCGTCGGTGGTCGAAGAAACGATTGTTATCATTGGAATGCTGCAGAGGGAGAATTGTAGACTTGATAAAGAAGTCAATGGAATGCAGATGGGACTGTAAATCTTGCGGTAGATCAAAATTCATTTTTGCAACGGTGAGACAAACCTATATTGTCACACATTATACACAGGTGCTTGGCCCGATGTCATTCAGTATATGCCTGGACATTGCCGCATAGGTATAGCCTTCCCCGCATTTGGACCTCGGCATCTACTTATCTCGTTTGGCACCTAACGATTTCAAAGAAACGCGAAGGAATTCTGACCAAACAATGTGCTGCAAAAAAGAAAGGGTCATGTTAAGTGTATACCAGTTTGATGAGAGTATGTAGTGCTTTTAGTAGGAAGTGGAGTCCACATGAATTGTTCTCCAGTTTGGTGCCTCTGCTGACCGATGTATATCCCTGATGCCCACTTATCCAGACATATAGCCTCAAACGCTTTCAAATTTTCTGATTACTTCAAACGTCGAGCTTCAGAACTTTAAAAGCCCCGAAAATATCGGCTGCATGTTTGATCAGACACCAGTTGGGATCTGTAAGAACCACTGAGCCATTGGGTGGACAGTCAATGGAGAATCCCTTAGCCGGACGACTTGATTGCGCAAAATTTGAGTAAGGTTTTTGGCCTAAGGCACGATAGCCTGCTTACTTCTGCTGCCTGAGGCCAAAACGTGAGTCAGCAACCGCCGAGTTTCGTTGTAGTGTGCAACCAATCACCGGCGGTGCTCGACCCTCTCCGACTCTTTTCCTCCTTTTCAGGAGATGCCGATTTCTCCGATTTCCGGCAGAATCTCAACTTCAGAGCACTCGCTGATGTTCCGGGGTTTATATCGGATGAACGGACCCTGATGGACTTGGAGTATCGGCAACTGTTGGCACCGAATGGGCCACCCTTGATTCCGCCGAGCGACTTTCGGTCCCCCAGACTACCCCAGCTGGAATATATGCAGAGGAGCCCCGAATCTGGCGAGATGGAGAAGACTCCGCCCGTCACGGGCAAGCGCCGAGGTGGTAGCCGAAAGGCCTGCAACGAGTGTAAGCAGCAGAAGGTGAGCCACATGTATCGCCCCGACTGGCTTTCAAATCGCCTTCCAAATCGCCTGGGTAACCCTTGTCCTGTCCCGCAACGGCCACGCTAATGCGATTTCGTCGGACAGCTTCGATGTGACATTGTCCAAACTCCAGCCGCGGCGTGCTCGCGCTGTCGCAGGTTGGGGATCGACTGTAAAGTTGAACAGTCTTTTAAGCGAATCTCTAAGAGAAGGTGCTATTCCCCCGCAATCCCGAGGCATTGATATTCTATTAACTCTGTGTACAGACGCAATGCGGAGATGGAGAAAGAGATCCAAGATCTCCGCCGACGCTTAGCATTTGATCATGAGCAAGAAGAAGCAGCCGAGTCTCATGTCGGTGATGATCATTCACAATGCTCGGAGGTGGCTTTCAAGAGGCGCGACTCGGCTCCGACTGAGCGTTCACGGCCGGTATCAGTGCCCCTTGAGCAGCACGCATCCATTGCAACTCCAATTACCATGCAAAGAGATGGATCCATTCTATCTCAGGAGGAGAATACTCCATGGAGATTAGAAGACATCGCTCTTTCGCGAGCTCGTGTCGCTAGGCTGTTTGAACAGTAAGCACTGGTTGTCCTCCTCACCCGTAACTCGCTCCAGACTGACTCGTCGCAAAGATACTTCAATTATTATCACCCATTCCTCCCCCTCTTGAATCTTCCAAAACCTCCCGAGGTTTATCTTCACCGATGTCCTTTGTTGGCCTGGACGATTATCTGTGTGGCCAGCCGAAGGTCCCCCCCAGGAGCCATGGCTGTTGAGTGCCCTCTCTGGACCGTTTAGTCGACTTCTTTGGTCCACGATCACCAGCGTTCCGCAGGACTACCGAGTTGTCAAGGCGCTCTGTGTATTGTGCACATGGCCCCTTCCAACAACGAGTCAACGGACAGACGCGACTTTCATGCTCAGCGGTCTCATGATGCAAATCGCCATGCAGCTAGGACTTCACCGCCCAGTCCAAGCGGAGGAGTTCACTACCTTTCAGATGGAAGTCCAGGGAGAGGCGCTCAAGGATCGTTTGCACACTTGGGTAATTTGCAATATTGTCGCGCAAAAGTGAGTCATTCACCCTATACCTTATCTTCGGCTGATATTGACTTCTTGCTCAGCGTTGCCACTGGATATGGCCAGCCCCCTAGCACAATATATGACTGGGCTCTTGAGCCTCCTTCCTTGAAAGATGCCGATTACCGACTTCCCGAGGATCTGACCATTAGGCTGCGCATCGAGAAGTTCTGTGACCGTGTCACCAAGGCCCTGTATAGCAGCAAGCCCGAGCCGGGAGAATTCATTAGCGCGGAAAAGCATGTGATTGTACAGATCCTCGAGACGGAGCTACGAGAAATGGAAGTTGAGTTTGGTCGCAGCATCTCTGGTAAGACCTGCTCAAATAAGTTTCCCGAAAATTTGAACTGACATTCTGCAAGCGATTAACATGATCCATCTTCGCGCTGCAGAGCTGCACTTCCGATACTTTGTGTTCCTGGGCTCCAATGCACGGAGCGATGATCTTACAAAGCTCTTTATTGCAACAACCTCATTCTTAGGGCGAGTGCTGGATCTTGAAACGTCCCCTGGGGAACTGATCGGTCATTCCACCAATTACATTCTTCAGATGATCGTCTCTGCAGCATTTGCTCTCATGAAGTTATTGAAAAGTAGCTTCAGCAGACACATTGACTTCAACCACGGCAAGCTCCTGTTCAATGGTGCTATCTCAGCCATTCGCAGGATCAGTGTCATGGATCACGATCGTCCAATCCGTCTGGCTGATATTCTTGCCCAAATGTGGAATGCGACAGGCCCGGAGCCCGCTGGAGAGGATGGTCTCCAACTCAAGGTTCGTTGCCGTATGAGCATGAGTCACGTCTACGACACCGTCTGGCGTTGGCGACAACGTTTCAGACCGGTCAAAAGCATCCAAGAAATGCAAGGTGAGCTTCGATACACTCTGTTCTTTTTGCTTTTTAGTACTCACACTTTTCCAGCCGCAGTCGCTGCGGCGAATCAACATATTTCGACAACAGGACCCTTGGGCCGACAGCAGGAGAACTCCCTGGAGGATCCGTCATTGATGATGCCCAGTCAGTTCGACGAGAGCGGCGCATTCTTTAGTGAAGCTGGTTTCTCTGAAGTTTTCGACTCCCTGAATTGGGTTTTCGAAGGAATTCCCGACTCTTTCGTCGCTCCTCCAGTCCTTTGACTTCGAGCTCGAGACATGCGGATCACAGCCGCAAATCACCGTATATTTACGTGTTCATGTATAGAAAGCCGTTTTGAGCGATTTCAGCGAAGATACCATGCGAATAAAAGTGATTTCTCTGTTCATTCTGGTTCCAACACCGCTCTACCTGTTTCATATGAGACTGAAACTGAACCAATGCCACTCAATTTTCAAATTTTCATATTTTCAACTAAGCCGTGCATCTCCATGAATGGAATGAAAGCAGTTTGTGAGCCTCGCTGTGTCATTGACTTGCCACGAAGTCCGGATATGTCCCTGGCCATATGAAGTCGTTAGGAAGCAGTCGCCGCTCATTGAATGGAATCAAGGACCTAGGACGCGCGCCACTTTGGACTGAAGTGGGAACTTGAAGCCATTAAACGCTGTGCTACTTCGAATGAGTCAGGATCTTTTTCTTCTTCAATGGAAGAACCATTGAAAAACTATACACGCCTATGCAGGCTGACCAGGTTCTATGCAGAGGTGTAGGAAATGAGTCTGTGCCTCTCGTTTCCCCAGAGGATGGTTTGGAAGTTAGCCAAAGATCCTGAAGAGGCTATTCTCCAAGTAATATCAATGGAACGTCCTTGTGCATGATGGCAGTCATGGACCAAGAGCTGCAGGTGCCATGGAACAGCGTCGTTGCTAGTGGTCTTGAACAGAAGTATCGGTGTAAAACCGCGCGCGGCAACGACAAGCCAACCCACCAACGCTAGTGTCTCTATGCCACTCACTAGCCAGTTCTGATTTCAATTCTCCGGTCGCTGGGCAATCCTCCGGTCGCTGGACGCACGACCCAGTATCCGCTTCCAGCCCAAGGAGTCGGGCTCCCCACGACTCGTCGATCGTTCTGGGCCATGCGCCCGTTTCAGGGATCTTGTGTATAGAAATTGACCAGCTTAATGAGAATAGAGCTTCCCAAGGACCCTGTCCGTTCAAAATTTCGCGGCGTTTTCATTTCTGGATGGATAGATAAGAATAATGACCCTAAGAGGTGATTGAGCACAGAAAGTGACGTGACGAACAGAACCATTTGATTGCTGTCCTTTTTGTGGAACAGAGTGATAGAATTCAGCTCGTAGCGGCTGGCAAGGTCATTTGATTGCACTAATTCAATTACGGCATTTATGGATGCCTCCTCGAAAACGCATCAATGTTGACATGATGGCTCTTCTTCACTATAAGCTTGATATGACTTTGGAAATACATTACATGGCTCATGAAGGTGTGCTATAAGAGGAAAGTTCAGTGGGCACTTCAAGCTCCACACGAATTTGATGACCCGATGCCATGGACATCTATTTCCAATACGACCGTGTTCATTCCAGGCTGGCACTTAGTCTAGTCTACGGGTGGCTCGCATTTGAATATGTCAATCCACAGGCGTGGTATTCCTGGGTGTAGAACCAAGCCTCTTGAAAGCCAAATTTCGAGATACATATTGCCCCTCGATTGATGATGAGTGTGATCCAGAGCGATCTATAGCGTCAACTATCTCCAACACAATTTCGGTTAAAGATGCACTCGGCTTTGAACTACAGGCAGTCTCGAAGATCAGCATGTGATCGGTGCCGCGGATTCAAGCTCCGCTGTGAACGTGACCAAGTCAATGGCAGGTCGTGCGAAAGGTGTCTCAAAGCTCAAGTCGTGTGTACGACAAGTGTTGGACAGCCTACTCCAAATTATCTACCATCCAAAAGCGACTCAGGCACGATATCCCGAGACTGTGATCGTGTCTCTACCAAAGAAGGAATGCCGACGCCTGTTCTCCATAGATCGACAGCCTCAAAAGTCAGGAAACCACTTGCATCTTCAGGGTCACCTCGAAGACAGGACACTTCCTATTCCAATTGTTGGGAGTTTCCGGAGATATTTCCATCTTTATCTGCAACAAACCTCCCTTCTATGGGGAACATCGGGCTGCCAATGCCGTTGCTTTCTTCTTCAGCATTTCCGGTGGAGCCGTGTAGAGACTTTTACACTGCCTCGGGGTGGGGTCGGACCAGTTTGTGAGTCCTAATTGACCGCAAACAGACAGGATAAGGAAGCCGTTGTTAATTCATTTTTTCACAGCCCTCGTTAGAGGACGTAATATTCGATCCGGAATATCATATTCCGGATCAACGTGCCTTCCCTCAAGCTGCTTCGATGGATAGATCCCTAAATATTCAAAATGAACTGAACGCTGCGACCGGTTTCCCTTCAACCATGGGAACATTCAACATCGATGACCAGCCCTCAACTTTCATTATGGATGGGACGTGGAATCCTTCGTGGGAAAATATAGCAATACCTACTTTGGACAACGAGCCGCCGATTGCCACCAAAAAAGAATGGTCGCCTATCAGCCCATTTAGTGTGCGCAAAAGACTTCTCAAATTGGATCTCGAATTGATCGACGATCTGGAGCATCTAGAGTCGGGCCCTTTCATCATGGGGCCGTCGTCTATCCTCAGGGGAGATGTCAGCCCAACAGTTGGGAAATTAGATCTGCCCATATTTCGCATGCTCAGCCACTCAACACAATTCGTGGACATTCTCGAAACTAGCGCGGGTGCTGCAGAAGACATTTTCAGTTCGTCCAGTTATTTCAATTCATCTCGAGAGGCATTCGGGATCAACCGCGATACAAAATCCCCATCTACAGATCTCATGGGTGGAAGTGTGGAGGATGGCGAAAGAACAACATCATCTTACGGCTCTGCATATTTGACCAGCATGGAGCCATCTCCAGAGCAAGCAAAATTCCTAGAGTCTCAAGGATGGGATATATCGACAGGACTCAGCATGCTCGCAACTTATTGCCACCTGATCCGGGTGTATCGAGCTGTGTTTACACAACTTTATCAACTATTCTTGATTATACCCCCTGCTGATGCTGCTGCGTATTTACTACTACCGAACCTACAATTTGGTCAATTTCACATGGAAGGTAACCTAACTGTTCAAGTTCGGGTGTTGATTGAGCTTGGCTCCAGCATGCTAGTGAAGATTGAACGGGTCCTCGGAATGTCCCAAGGCACTACACAAGAGCGAGGTGGCGAAATAAGCACCATGACATACATATTGGATGACAGTCCACTGGTATGTATCCGGGACCACATCACGGCGCAGGAGAAATTGACGCATGCAATTCCATTGAAGGAAACAATGAATTGCCTTAGACAACTTCTGAAAGACCCAGGCAACATGTGACGATGGCCCATTCTACTGTATACCACCAATCAAGGAGATCACTGTTTTCCTAATTGAATGATTTTATCGGACCGGAAATGTATACTCAAGCAACTTCAAGCCTATTAGTACCTGTTCCCAAGCAGCTTTTGCAGTGGCGTTGCGATTGAAAACTATCAAGAATGATAATTTCAAATCTGTGAGTGACTGAAACAAATCGCTGATTCTGATGTGCACGATAGGGATATGCACCTGAACCCCTGCATGACCGGAGGCCGAAACCGAGTCCGAAATTGTACAAAATTATTGCGAGCGTCTAGTATTCCCGGAGAGACAGCACATTGTATTTAAGGAACCTTCTTCCCTGATACGGCAGTGTGACATCGAAGTTTCTCTACACCTCAAAATCACATCTGTCGAGAAAATCAACGCACGAAGTCATGGCAGCTCCCATTTCTAAAGGTGCAACTAATTTGGTAGGCATCTGGAATCTGGTATGTAGAGTCTACCCACGAAATAGGGAATATTATTTTGATTAGAGTAACAGAACAGGAAATTGTCGGATGATCCTGATAAGATCTTTCAACTGGTATGACGATAAGATCAGCAATACTCTACTGCTTAACGCTAAGGTCATTGAAAAGCAGAGAGCGCCGTGGCTCGTTAGAAAGGCACTCAAGTTTGCAAATCTGTCGTTGGATATCAAACAGACAAGCTTTTTGTCAGATGGAACAAGTGCTGAATTCACTGTCGACGATTCTGGCCTCGACAGTCCGGCGGACGCAGTCACGACTCTTCGCATAAAGCAGACTGTCAGCCCTGGCTCATTCGACAGCATGGGAACTTACTACCTGGACGGAAAGCCCAAAGAATATTCGCTTCCTATTTTTGGTGATGTCAACATGAGACTACAATACATCAATGTAGCAGACATCAACAACGAGCCTCTACGCCAGAGACTGGAGAGAGCAAACCCGACCAAGATTGTTATTGAAGAATCCGCTCACAACCCAGGCAAAGGCTGGAAGGCTCAAGTTGTTTGGGCATTTGAGCTGATCAACGAGAAGCGATACCTCACTCGAAATGTTTCCACCTGGAATGACAAGGAGAAGGTGGAGGCTAGGATGGTTTACGACTATCATGCTTAGCAATCGTGAGTGTTATCATTCTACTTCCTCATTCCAATTGCTCGACACGCAGCTTAACTACCACCTAAGTCAGAATGTAACATGACCTCTAGCATATCCTCGATCTTCTGTGTTCGTAGCCTAAAATAACCTATTCTTCCCAAAGCCTTCCATCACCACTCTGACACATATCTTAATATTGAGTCATGCTGGCTGACAAGCCAAAACAACGTAGCTATCCCGTGTTTGAGGATAGCTCGCGGGTGTTTCGAGAATCAGAAGCGAAACCATCTCCACCAAAGCGTAAGTCGTTATAAAACCCTTTTCATTTGGTTGAAACAAACTACTCTTCCAGATACATAAGACGGATTGATTGGGTTGAGACTTCCATACAATGGTTCCACAGAGGGGGATTAAGATCATGCACTTCCCTCTAATGAGACAATCAACTTTTTACCCGACACATCTCCTCTCTTGAGCATCTCGAGGCCCTTCAAGATCCCATCGAACCGCCCCGGAAGTACTGACTGAGGACATGGTCTAAGTTTGCCTGTATCGATCAACGTTTGGAGCGTGCGATACCAAGGCCGTGCCCACTCTCCAATTTCTGGTCTGGGAGGAATTCCGTAAGGCACCGGAAGATCCACACCTTTACCAGCGATAGCACCTCCCATTACCAACTCATGCTTCACTGTCTTTCGAGAAATCAGCTCCGCTGTGTACTGTTCCAGTGCACAATATCTTCCACCGGTCCTGCCAATGGCATCTTGGCATAAGCGCACTGTTTTTGATTCTGCAAAGGGATCGAGGACATGGCGGAGTGCATTTTTGGTGGCTGATCGAATATCCTGTGCGCAGGTAGGAGATTTGTAGTCAAAGACAAGATCGGCACCGTAAGATTTGACTAATTCGAAATTACGGGGAGAACAGGTTGTGATCACTCGGTGACCACAGCTGAGTGACATACATTTAGCCTTGAGTTTCGGGCATCATCAGGCGAAATCACTTACAGCTTCACCATTTGAATGGCAAGTAGGCCAATGGTACTGCTTCCTCCGTAGACCAAAACATCTTCGGCTTTGATTGAAGGCTCATCCAAGTTCCCCGGAAGTTGCAGGGACCAAAACAGGGCAATTCCGAGAGTGGCAATACCCGTACATGATAGAGCTGGCGCTAGGGTGAGTGGGGTACCCTCTGGACTATGGAAAGTAAAATCCGGCTCAGCTCTGATGTATTCACAGTAGGCTCCGGACTGGGGATCTGATTGATTTGAGCCTTGCACCGCTCCGAAAACTCGATCCCCAAGGCGGAATCGTCCCTGAGCGATGGCTTCGCTTCCCAGTGCCACGACGATTCCCGCAAAGTCACACCCATCCCAGAGGCCCTGCGTTGGAAATCGAAGAGGCATCTTGAAATCACAGGGATTCAGAGCCACCGATGTGGTGCGTACGAGCATTTGATGAGGGCTCAGCTCCGGAATAGGGGAGTTCGGGGTGATCCGAAGTATACCAGCTTCATCCTGAAGGATGACAGTCTGAGTTGAAGGGATGTCGTGGTGGCGATCCATTGAAACCTTTTTGACTTATTCTTGACGATGTACGATGAACGGTAACCCTCGCTTGCAAGAAACGGCAAGACTAGTGAACAGGATGTGATGGTTAGTGTGGACAGGTCAAATACCCTTCAAACGATTAAGTATGGGGCACAAGGAAGATGAAAACAAGTGGATGAGTACAGCTTGAAGGCTTTCTTCGACTCTGATTCCAATTTGACCCCAACGATAATTCAATGATACACACGGAAGGATGCATGAGAACCGACTCTTCCGATGCTACAGGACCGAGGATGAGACAAAATTTCGTCTCAATTCCAATATTGAATGCGACCAGACTGATTTCGAAGGCTGCAGGCTAGGAATTCGTGCGAAAACATGTCTCTGGACCAAGGCTTCCAAATTCGAGATTTGCTTGAATAACCCGAGTAAGTAGTCAAGCGGGTCTACTCAACTTAGCCGCATATTTGTGGGTCGAATACAGGTCACACGGATGATCTTCTCCATGAGTAGACTCAAATAGCTATGAGCCTAAGAAGCAAAAGAGAAGTAAAAGGCTTGCCCACAGTCGAGCTCGTTGATGAAGACGACTTCAGCACACAGGTCCATGGCCATGGCGATCGCCCCGCATTCTCCGCTTTTCTGATTCCGTCATTGAACACCAGGATGTCACCATTAGAGCCGACGACCCGTGTAGATTCCGAGGACCCGAATCCCCTCACTCTTCGGATTGCTTCGTGCTCAACTATCTCGGAAGTATCACGATGTTAAGCCGACATGACTTCAAGCACTCCGAAAGCATCTCGGTCGCGTTTCGGTGAGTGGGCCTCTGCATACTTAGGTGTTGGTAATCATTGACACTCGACAGGTTGTCGCACATGTCGTGCTCGGAAAGTGAGAGCATAAGCAATCCATTGACTCCTTGTTCTAACAGAATGCCTGTAGGTCAAGTGTGATGAACAGCCCGGAGAATGCGGAAACTGTGCCCGCCTCCGCTTAGTATGTTCGGGCTATTCCACCTCCCCTCAAATCCAACAGATTGCAAAATCCAGGACCGAGAGCTCGAAAAGAAAAAGAACATATCGTTCTTGCACGGCATGTCGAGCATCTAAGACAAAGTGCTCAGGGGAGCGACCGATGTGCCAACGATGTCAAGCCAAGGGCATGAGCTGTGTTTACTCCGAATCCTCTCAACCGAACTGGATCCATCGTGTCAACGTGACGACAGGAAATAGCCAAGATTCCATTCCCAATACTGCTTTCACTACCATAGCCCCCAGCATTCATCTCGATCCAGCGTCGACGCAGTCTACGGCGCAGTGCCATGCGTCGCCATCTCCGTGTTTCTCACCCCGGCAGTCACTTACAGAAGAGACAAATGACCCCCACATTTCGGCCCTAGAATGGTACGTCAAGAATGATAATTTCAATGGACAAGCTCATCAAGAACCTTTCCAGGCTGAATGTACGATACCTCCCAACCCCGTGGAAGATCGGTCTTCTGGTTGAGGAGTATTTTAACAACATTCATCCATTGCGATGCTTTGCCTTCATTCATAGACCCTCGTTCTTGCAGAGACTGGATATAGAGACCTCGAAAATGACTCGCAACAATGCTCTGCTACACATAATTTGTGCGCTAGGTGGCCAGTAAGCGCAAACCTTTATTGAAATCAGCGAGGCCACCAAGACGCTAATGGGATCACTTGTAGATTCTACGCATTAGCGTACAGTGAGAATGTCTCTCAGCTTTCAGCAAAATTCGTGCTATCTGCCGGGAGTGAGTGGGCCAAGGCCGCTCAGCGGCTGGTTCTCGAGACCTTGGACACGGTCACGAATGAAAATTTAATGGTGAATTCCACGATCCGCACGTATCCCATCGCTAGAACTGCTAACGTCCGAGCAGGCATCTGTTCTGCTTCACGACTATGCAGTCCGAATGGGCAACTTTGCCAATGCGTTTATGCTTAGTGGGCTCATCACACGCATGGCTCAGGCATTGCAAATTAACCTTGAGTACAACACGGATGTCCTTTGTCAAAACAATGACTATGGCCCTTCTACTACGGCAAAAGAGTCAAGACGACGTCTGATGTGGAGTTGCTATGTGATGGACTCTCTCGTGGGGAGTGGAGTGGATCAACTCACACTCGTCCACGAAAAGGATATGAAGATCCAGCTTCCCTGCAATGAAAGAAACTTCATACAGCAGATACCATGTTTCACGGAAACACTAGAGCCTGCAAATTGGCTGAAGTTTATCCCTAGCGAGCTTGACACAGCGACCCTTCTACCAAACATGGGAATAATGGCCCACTTCATCAGACATATCTCTATTCGAAAGCGAGTTCTAAGGTATGTTATTCACCCCTTTAGTGGCTTGAATGAATTAAAAGTTAACGTTGAACTCAGGTATATTAAGCATCTTGGTGATGCGATGGTTCCGTGGGATCCCAGCTCGGAATTTGCTGTCCTGGACAGAGATTGTCGAGCATGGTATGAGTCGCTACCAGCCAGTTTACAGTTCACACCCAGTGCAATTTATATAAGAAAAGACTCATCACAGCTTGGTGCGCTCTGTGTATTACACTGTGCACACTACCAAACCACATGCGATTTGTACCGACTGGGGGCTCCTGCACTCTATAAACTTCGGGCTGCCTTCGATTTCCCTCCAGAACATCAAGTGTTTCTTCGCCATCTACAGCAGGTTTTGTTTGATGCTGCGAGAACTTTGGCGACGATTATTGGAGAAACAGCTCGTCATGGAACCCGAATGTTAGCCGATTCATGGCTTCCAACAATTACATACGATAGTTGTCGGATCATGGTATATCATCTCACGCAGATCCTGGACCCCCGCTTGGAAGATACAAAGAGTGTCATGATGGAGACGCTTCCTCTTTTGCAAAGCAACATCAATGCCCTGGGTGCCATGGCAAACCTTAACGGAATTGCGAAATCTTTGGTAAGTCATTTGAATCTCAAGATCCCTTCCACCCTTGGTAGCTAACTGTTTTCTTGTCTGGGCAGTGTTCTGCGGCAAAGACCATGCTCGATCGTTCTGGCATTGGGTCCGAAGTCATCGCACCGAACAGTGTTCCCGACGACCCATACCAGTCTATTGAAGGTGGAGAAGATCTCAGGTCAGCAGCTTACAATGATCAAAAGAAGGAAAGTACTTACCTGGACACGAATGGCAGTGAAAGTTTACCAGGCACCCCGATTCAAAGCGCACCTGACTACGTTCTCAATCCCCTGTCGATCTTTCGAATGGCGCGCAAGTCTATTCCAGAGCGGCATGCCCCAGAAAAGGCCACCACATCATCCGCCCCAAATAGCGCAAGACCTAGCTCCACCGCAGATGACAATCCGTCACCTATTGATCCTATTGATCATTTGAAGGCAGCCTCTACAGCTCCAAATGAGCATACTTCAAGCCACGCAAGCCTGGAAGAACTCCAAACTTTGTTCATGTCTGATCTGGGATGGGCTTGGCAACCGGCAGATACGGCCGTCGGATCTGGAATTGAAACGGCCGGATTGTTGCCATGGGCAGGAGGATACTCTACAACACAGGCTGAACCGTGGCTACCCGTTTTCCCGTTTCCGCAGCAAAGTTGAGTCAATTGCATCTATATCGAAAGAAGGGTGCGAGGATTTCAATTTAATCGTTGATTGCCTGATGAAGTATGAACGTACTTGAATTTCAATCGCCTTGAAGTTTTAGCCCCCGAGGAGGGCTTCCCTCAATTGAATGTCCATATGTGCAGGTCACCCTGCACAAAAAAAGAGGATTTACGTGAAGTTTTAGACCCATAATTCCGATCAAGTCTTCTACCCTGGCCCCTCAATGAGTAACAAGCTCAAATCTTGGCCCTCAACTTGCCTACCTTACCGTCGCAGCTGAAAAGAAAGGATCTCATTCATTGCACACTAACGATTCAAGTTATTTATGAAAAGTATCTGAATTTACAGAAGTGCGCGATCTCAATCAATTGGACAATTTTTACTCCGCGTCCAAAGGGCAATGAGGCGGTTGATCATTGACCTGAATACCTCCTCGCTTCTTTTCTAGGGTATCGTGATAAGGAAGCTTCCAGCCGCCTTCTGATTCAGGCGCGGAGAGCCAAAGACGCATCAAGTGTCGGCGACGGGCAGGGGCGCCATTCTCATCGACAGCACCTGCAGGGTGATCGGTGTATGCAGTTCGTGCGTGGAAGACGTGTGAGTTGCTGACAAACTGGATGTCGCCTGGCGCCAAGATCATGTGCAGTGAAAGCTCAGCGCAAGTCTTCTCGAACACCTCCATCGCGTGCTTCTGCTTCTCGGACAGAGGGGGAATCTGAGCATTGGGACCCGAGTTAAATCGTGCCAGGGAAGTCACATTCATAGGGTCAAATCTCGCGTAGACCCTGGGATTCTCGGCACGCTCATTCTCGAGGTAAAAGATACTGCCCCGAATCCACTGTTCCTCGCCCTCGGAGGTCTCACCCTTGCGATCAAAATACCAGTTAGGCTCCACAAGTGTCTGGACAACATCCGGGTGTCTTTCTTGTAGCATGTTGAACACATGGTGCGTTGATGCAATGTCTGATTCGCCTCCCGACATTGATTTGGCAATGCAGAGAAGTCCCACGATATCAGACCCATCAGTGTGGAAATACTGACTAGACAGATTGTTAGATCCCTACGTCCAGTTCTCTATGTAGAAGACCCATAACATACCGGGCATTGGTGCGATAAATACGGACTCGGTCAGTCTTGGTCGGGTCTTCTCCCAGGTCCTTGACGTGTCCAAGAACGTGTCCACGGCCATTTTGGCTCACAAAGTATCCAAGATAGGTACCAAGGCCCATATATGTAGTGGCACACTTTTGAACACTCCACTGCTGGACAGGAATACCCTTGAAAAGGTAGAATCCTTTGCCGTCAATCAAGTCTTTCCGCAGCTCCTCCATACGGCGGGAGAGGGTTGGGAGCGGGAAGTTAGTCTGCGCAAGAGGTCAGTGGACGTGACATGAATATTTCAGACGGAAGAGCTCTACCTTGGAGATACCAGTCAACGGTAATTCTTTTTCGATGAACTTGTCTGCGGCGGCGCTTATCTCTTGGATTTCATCATCGCTAAATTGGTGAGTCCACAGCTCGGGATTCTCGCGGTAGTCTTCGGCCTTCCACACCGTCGGGCCTGTATGTACTTTGGGGAAGTCTGCATATGGACGGACCCAAGAATACACTGGGGGATGCTGTCCAGAAGTCTTCAAGCCGTCTGGGAATTTATCAGTGTCAGCCCCGCTCAGAGCCAGACCCTGCGAAGTAGCAGTCTCCGCGGTTGTTGGCATACTGATTAATAATGCAGGTCGGAAAAAAATGTATTAAATGGCCTTGGTGATTTTCAACAATTGGGTCTCTTGGATATAACAAGCCGTTCTGATGCGATTATGGTCTTATTATATGCTTCGTTGCATCGCATTCATCACCGTGCTCGCGTGTCCCCGCCTCGGCCGGTCGCATCGAGCAAGCCCAGTCTTTGGGGCGGTCCGCAATTTACCGGGAAAGTAAATCTTTGTTGTACAGCTTTCCTCGGTTGAGTGGTAGTATTCAGGCTCGGTTCGTCGGCAAATAATCGAGAACTCCGATACTGCGAGAATCACGCAAGATGGTGTGCTAATAGGTACATGACCTAGTCTTAGTTCACGAAGACGGCGATGGCTAGTCCTGGAAAAACAACGAGGATCAAGAGTCTAAATTGATGAATGAATGAGAGGCAAAATCTTGGATTGGGATAATTGCGATCAAATAGACTCCAGTTGCTTACTATAGAACCAATCGTCGGCAGCCACATGCAGAACCTCCGCATCTATTCCGTAGAGAAGCACTTCTGGATGACAGTGAAGCGCCGATGGGGCAAGAAGTCGCAAGCTGGGAAGGCACTAGATCTAGTTGGCTCGGAGAGTAGATGCAAATAAACCCATGATGGAATATTGAGTACAAAAACCGCTCGAAATCTCATTTTGCTTCGGAAAGGACCATGAGACCCGGGTTTTATGATAATAAAAGTATCGGAACTACCAACCGTTGACTGTAACTAGAACATTGGCGAATGAAATCAGTTGTGAAGCTCAGGGCTTGGTCGGCATTTGGGTTGTACAAGAAATAATTTATAACTAATGTTGCATGAATGAAATATAGAACGCCGAGAGATCAACGTTGAGGCACATCTAACTGTCTCGTGTATGGCTTCAATAGCTCGGGCCAACGGCCATGACTTGGCGAGAGCTTTCCGCAGATGCCTCGATGTCATTCTTCTCTGCAAAAGCACTTGTTTGTCCCACTGGATCGTCAGTTCTTCTGTTGATGCCTGGAATTGCGAGGTCATCGAAGTTGAGAAGATACATGTACCAATAGTATGTTCCTGTTACTCAATGAGACTTGCAATACAGACACGGGAAGAAGTTGTGGACTCACCACAAAAGATAGCTCCGCCAAGAATGTTCCAATCAGCGTAGGGATGATGCCCTTCCAGATGTAAAGACCAACGGTAATGCCCGGTGTTCCAACCCAGATACCCAAGGGAATAAACGTCATGTTAGCCACAACGTGATCGAACCCAACGGATAGAGAGAGAGAGAATTGCATTATCCCCAAATATAGCTCTCGTCTGCGAGGCTCTTCCCGGGTCACTAACGGCCGTGAGGCCGGGAATTAAGTAGATTATAACGTCGATGAGGCTATTCCTATCTTTGTTTCTATCTTTGATTCCACTTATGCTTCTATCTGTGTTTATATGTCCGCTTGTGTCCTTTCTAATACCACACTATGTCCGCTCTGCCCCTTGCCAAACTATGTCCCTCTGTGTCCCCTAGGCGTGGCCCGCTACTTATCTCCCGTCCTTATAGCTCGTATTAGTATTTTGATATCTGTGAATTTAATAAATATCTATTTGTGGAAAAGGTAACTAATCGGTGTGGGTTACTCTAATATACTTAGTCCCTTATACGGTGCTAGCTATATAGTCGATTTGTCTGTTACTATCAGACATCACTCGCTATCCTTATAGGGTAATAATATAGGCCACAGATGTTAGAGTCGGCCGGTATTTAGTAGGAGCTTCGTAGTCTTTTATATATACTCTGCGACTGTTAGTGCCTACTTAACGCTCCGCGGGGCTAACTAAGGGTATCCCTAGGTCTATACCTATAACTCAGAATAGCTAAGATAGTTAATTTGGATATATCGCACTATCTCTGAGGCCTCGCTATATTATAGGTATCGCGTAGTGTTAGCTTAATTTATATTATAAAGGAAGGAGTCTAGGCTAATATTCCCTATATAGGCCTAAATAAGTATATTATGCTTCGCGGGGGTAAGGTCTTGTTGGGATATAAGGGGAAAGCTACCACGAAGCAGATCGTGGCCCCTTAAGTCCGTGGGATCAACCTTAGTCCGGCTGGGTCAGTCAGTGCCAGACAAAGGTAGAAGGTCAAAGGTCGTAGGATAGACTATAAGCAGATATAGCCTAAACGAAGGCAGAACCACAGTCCTGAGGATCAAAGGAAGAAGGTAGAGATAACTTTGGAAAGTGGAAAATGACTTCAGGAAAGTGGAAATGACTTGATTCTATCTGCTAGAAAAGAAGGACGTATTTATAGGCTAGGATAGCGTAGAAATGACGTCTAGAATAACATACAAATGACGTACAAACACTAGGCAGCAACATAATGAAGGTGGCAAAGAAGGGAACCGAAGAGAAGCGAAAAGAATGATGTCAAGGATCGACGGTCTAAGCCACCCCGAAAGCACCCCCGCAGGATCAGGCTATGCATGCCTAAAGGTGGACCATTTTACCCCTAAGGGAAAGTGGTCCGCCTATCCTTAAGGGGACCGAGGGTCGAAGTCTGTTCACCGGGGTCCGAAGACCATGGTCGAAGTCCGCGGGCAAGGCATGCCCGAAAGCACCCCCGAAGGAACGGACCATTCATGCCTGAAGGCGGACCATTTACCCCTAAAGGAAAATGGTCCCGCCTATCGTTCGGGGGAGGGCCGCGGACCAGAATCAGAAGTGGTCAAAACATCATTTTGATAGAAGAAAAATCTGGTCACGTGATCAATGCAATCTGATCTTATATGTTGAATATAAGGATAGATCTTTCTATGTAGCATTGGTCTATATTCCAATAGATAGAGCTAGCTATATAGTGCGAGATATCTTATACTTAGCTTACGGAGTGGGTTTTTACGTAGGAGAAGGGACTTACGGTATAACACTTAGTATTTATCTCCAAATAATATATTAGTGAGAGTTTTATCTATAAGGGGGGCTTATTAAGGGGTAGGTCCGTAATAGTCTAAGGATTTACGCGGTCTAGGTACCTATACCTAGGACTTTAGGGGGCATATATAAGTAAAAGTTAATAACTAAGGGGCGGCGGGTAATCTAAAGTAATAATAACAGAGATTTTAGCTTATACTAGCTATAGTAGGGCCTTCTACTATATAATATAAAAGTTAGGTAATACCTTACACTAGCTTAAGTCCTCGGTATACGATAAGATATATCTCTGATTATATTAGTGGATTCTCTAGATTACTAGCCGTGCGCCCTTATTGTGATACGCGTTATACGCGGTCTAAGGGGCCTTAGGGGGTATCAGTCCTATCTAGGTGGCGCCTACGACAGGAATAGTGATCCTCGGCCCTAGTTAGGCGAGGGCGGGTAGGTTAAGATTGTAAAGGAGGTTGTTTGAGGGCAACATCCTTCCGCTTGGCCAAAAGACCATTTATGTCGACCCTTAAGGTCGACATCCTCAGATCCATATATATACCCACACCTGCATATTAAGGAATAACCACATTATTCCTTAACAAAGATAGCCCGTGATCCTTAGCTCTAGTTAGCTAGTTACCGTGATCCGGACATAATCTTAAATATCGAGAAATTTAGGGGGGGGATATTAAGGTCTAGCGTAAACCCCCGGGTGTCAGTGTGGTCGGTCCGAGTCGATGTATATATTAGCACGGGTGGTGCGGCGGCACCCATCTTTTGAGGCAAAGTATTAAGGCCGTAGATAAAGGGTGCCGCGGTGGCAGAGGAGGATGAAGAGGAAAGTATTGAGGCCGTAGATGAAGGGTGCCGCGGCGGCGAACCCAACGGATACGAAGGCGAAGATTGGCAACCAGATACCTATGACCTTGGACGCAAGACTACGTCCCTGTGCACCAAAGAAGCAGGCGAGGCACACTAGCCAATTGCATCCAATCCCACGCAGGAGAATCATGTGGAACTCCGGCATAACATGCTTTTTGCTGGCGAACGAAATGACGGCCGACTTGAAAGGGTCCGCACCAAAAACGTTGCTGTCTTGTCACTCGCAATAAGGTTCGGGTTCCACTCTCTGCGTCACAGATTGCGTTGATGTACTCACATCCAAAGATCAGAATCGCTACAAAGAGCGATCCTGCCAGGTTCCCCCCAAAATGTGACTGCCCAGTGAAACAACATCTTCCACCAGGGAAGTTGTCTCTGGAGAGCCGCGACCGTAGTGTACTTTTCAATGGATCAGAGCGTCAACAAAGCATCTATAAAACAATTCATTCCAACCAGACCAGGTTTGACCTACCATAAAAGTACCGGTGCAAGGTCCGCACCCGTCAAAATTATCATGCACAATCCGTATGGGAAGACTAAAGCACTGATAGTCCTAATCAAGCCCAATGCATTTCCTTAGTACCAAGGGGATGCATCCGTCCTAAGAGAAGTTCCGCAGGCAAAAGCAAGCAAGCAGCCGGCGGACACGGAACTCAAGAACACCTTGTCCAGTCTCATATTACCTTTTTTGACGCCAGCATTGGAGACCGCCAAGAGGACCTCCTCCGGCGACAAGGCGTCAAATGCCATTTCTCAGCAGTTTTTACCGTCAACGAACAGACAAGGAATGATACCAAGGGAATCTTGTGAGCTTCTGACAGTTGAGAGCACACAGGACAGGTTTTCTTCGAAATGAAGATTCAGAGGGCCTGAAATGAGACCATATACAAGAGGGTCCGGCAAGGATGCCCCAACAAAGTTCAATCACCATTCTATAATTACCCCGTGCAACGAGTCAATGGGGTTTCGTGTCAGTAGGTCGTGAGGGGCCCCACATGTGTCCTGATGAGCGGGGATTTGCAGAATAAGCAGAGCCTAGGGAGGCTCATTAGTCCATAGTAAGCCCAGGTACATGGGCAAGGATGCATAGTCGCCGATCACTACCATGAATGATCAACTCGACCTCTCAAATTTCAGTCAGTTATCGCGACAAGCCTTGGCATAGACAGGGATCTGGGCAAACATTTCCCATCTCTGGAATTCTTACTCGGCATCTCTGTGGGCTCATTGCTGCAAACTTACAACAATCAATTGCTAGTCGGTGGTAGCTTCTGATTTCCATCAACTATTACTGACTTACTGAGGCATCTTCCTCCACTAGCCCGGCACGGGCCGTTTCCCCAGCCAACTGATGAAGCATTATGTTGCCTTTCCCGGCATCTTTTGAACATTTGGAGGAGAAAGGAGGTGGAGGAAGTACCGGCTGCCCAGCATCTACGAGAATACGGAAGACAAAGCTTGGCAAGCTTACCGAAGCTTACGTGGAGCAACCAATAAAGGGCCGTACCGTCCGGTCTCTAGCACGTTGCCATTTATAGAAGCTGATGTCTTTAGCCTTCTGTAGTTACACAATTCTCAAACTCAGTGAACGGAAGAGCGATTCTCTGGATACAAGACATGGAATAGCGAAGCCGTCATAAGTCGAGGCCCCACAGTTGAACCTGTTCCGGGATTATCAATGCGGCAGCGAATGCAACGAGCTAGGCAACATGAATCTCTCTGTCGAATTCGGTGGCTGGTTCAAGGAGAGCAGCCGCATTCGTTGGAACAGGTCAAATATTCTGGGTCTCGGAAAATATCAGATCATGGAAGGCAGCAATGTGCTTTTGCACCTATATCAGTCTCATGCTCAAGTCATGTGCAAGTGATTGCCCAGATCCTCCAGCATCATGCTACCTGGAAAATACCGGAACAAACAGATCGTATATCGATCATATGCGACCTGTTGACTCGAATGGCAAGCATCATTTGGCACAGGAGGAGCATTCAGAGTGCTTTAGATGTGACCCAAGCAGCGTGGGCTACAGTCCGCTACTGAACAAGGCAGAGGGCGTTTGGAAACAAATTACTTTTGTTACCGACCAAGACGAAGAAGAATTCGTGTATCATTAACAGAAGCAACTAAACTGGAGAAGAAGAAGAAGAGAGAAAGAGGGAAACGAGCATCTACGAAACAAACCCACTTCTATCCCGAATTGGGTTAGACCTATGGCTCCTTCTAGATTACGTTCCCCCTTAGGCCTCTCTTAGGCCACAAGACATTCATACGTTATATAGTCCCCCTTTTTAAAGAGGCTCGCCCCGAGGCTCTGGTATTCCATTATCTGGATAATTATTCACAAAGTAATCATTTAAAGTAGCGTTTAACTACACTAATAACCGTATAGGCGGTCCGGGTAGGGCTAGGTAACGCTTATAGAAAGCTAATAACTTATCCGGA